GAAATCACACTATCACGCTTGAATTCCATCAGGAATAACTTTTTTTCTGGAAAATTCCATCACACCAAATGCTTTTGTGCGCTTGTAAACTATATAGTAAGCTATCACTGGAATAATTTTAACAGCAGTCGGACGAGTGGCTTAAAAATGACAGCAGTCTGAAGTTTGTTGCAGTTTTTTTTTCATCTCACCCTGTATATTTGCACTTCTTTGTAGCCTGTGAATACTCGCTTTCTCGTTGTTTATAGAGATTACCTATTTGTCGTATATGAATACTCCTTTCTAGTGCTCTATAAATGTTTGCGACTAAAGTTTGGTGGACTATTTAAATTCTAGTAAAGAAAACTCCCTCTTGACCGTCCTTAAATACTTCTTTTGATAACACGAAACCCTATAAATATTACTGCTTTGATTACCCATAAACACTTCGATTTGTTCACCTATAAACACTCCCTTTTTCTCGTCAATAAAGATCCTTCTTTAATATCCAATAAATACTTCCGTTTGGTAGCCTATAAAAATTTTCATGCGACAAAAACATAAAACTATAACCAGTAAAAAATGTCTTAAAGTCGGGCGGTGCCGATTATAATTTAAAGTTCAAAGAACTAAATATGCCGAAGCATTTGTATCTTTTAAATTCGGACTTGTATTGCCCAAAGATATTTCTGAGCTGTATTTGATATATTTCCCTGAATAACGTTGTTACGGAGTGCATATTACGGCTGTGGGTAACAAATATAACAAATCGGATGAACAGTATATATGGGAGCTATAACTATATCTGAACCGATCTTCATCAAATTTGACATACTAGCTTCTAGACTCAATTCGGTCGTAAGTGCCAAATTACATCCAATTTGGACAAATATTACACGTTTGGTACACAATCAAAGGTAAATCGGACGAAGTTATATATGGGAGCTATATCCAAATCTGAACCGATCTCGATAAAATTTAGCAAATGTATTTCTGAGCTGTATTTGATATACTTCCCCGAATATTGTTGTTACAGAGTGTATATTACGGCTGCGGAGGACAAAAATAACAAATCGGATGAACAATATATATGGGAGCTATAGCTATATCTAAACCGAATTCGATCAAATTTGGCATACTTATTTTATGGCATAATTATTCGGACTGATATTACACGTTTGGTGCACAATAAAAAGCAAATCGGACGAAGATATATATGGGAGCTATATCTAAATGTCGATCGATTATCTCCAATTTCAATAGGGTTCCTCCTTGGGTCAAACAAATGATTTGTGCGAAATTTCATCTGGATAGGGAAATAAATGCGTACTGTACTTTGTTTACAAAAATACATGGACAGACGGACGGACATGAATAAATCGACTCAGAATGTGATTCTATGCAGATTCAAGAAACTATGGGTCTATCTCGTTTCCTTTGGCCTGTTACAAACAAATGCACAAAGACATAATACTCTGACCACATTGTGGTGTAGAGTATAAATAGGTAACAGATGGCAGGCAACATAACAGAAATGCATTGGAAATTTTAGAAAAATATGTTATTCCGATATCGTCGAAAAATGGCGGAAATAGGCGGAAAAAAATATCAGATATGACAGACTTGTTCTCAAAAATCTATTCCAGAGCATTTCCTTGTACATTGAATCGATAAAAATCAACAACAACCCTTAAAATGTGTCAGCTCTGTTAAATTATAACATAATGCTATGTCACGATATTGTGACATAACATATTTTTCCACTACCAACGCCATCTATTGAAGAAAAATGAAAATGTAATGTCGCATCTTATTATATTATATGTCTTGGAAGAAGGCTAAAATTTTGCACACGCGTTTATTTTTCCAGTAGGCAGGTTTAGTTAGTAAATGGGCCATGTAGGTCCACGTTTTCATATAGCCCCCATAAAACGGTACCTCCCGATATTCGGTATTTTGATGAGTTTAGAGACATTATTCACCAGAATTGTTTCAAATTTGGTATTTGAGATTCGTAATGGATGCTGCAGCCTAGGACAGAAAATTGTCTTTGCTAGTCCACTTCTTCGTATAGCCCCCATATAACGGTACCTCCCTATATTCGGTATTTTGATGATTTCAGTGGTATATTCACCGGAATTATGTCAAATTTGGTATTTGAAGTTCGAAAAGGATACTACACCTTAACACAGAAAATTGTTTGTGCAGGTTGACGTCTTCGTATAACCCCCATATAACGGTACCTCCCAATATTCGGTATTTTGATGATTTTAGCGTCATTATTCACCAGAATTGTTTCAAATTAAAAATACCAAAATAGTTAAAGAAATTATGAACTACAGTCTGTAACAGAAAATTGTCTATGCAGGTCCAGGTCTTCGTATAGGCCCCATATATCAGTACCTCCCTATATTCGGTATTTTGACGATTTTAGGGGCAATACCCACCAAAATTGTTTGAGATGTGGTATTTGAAGTTTGTAATGGATGTTACAGCCTGTGACAGAAAATTGTCTATGCAGGTCCAGGTCTTCGCACAGCTCCGATCTAACGGTACCTCCCTATATACGATATTTTGATGATTTTAGCTACATTATTCACCGTTTATTTCAAGTTTCGAGTTTGAATATGGTAATGGCTTATGACGAACAATGCCAATGTAGGTCCTCGTCGTATAGACCCCAAATTAACGGCTGTATTTGGTATTTTCAAAATTTTAACAGATTTTTTGAAGGATTTTATTTTTTGAAAATTATCAAATTCGTTCCAAATGGTGGAGGGTATTCAAAGTTCGGCCCGGCCGAACTTACTGCTTTTTAACTTGTTATATTATATGTCTTTGCATGCGATCAATTTCTTGGACTAATTTTGCTCGCTCATAACCTCATTTAATTTAACAATCCTCTGACATGCACTGTAACAATCCCTCCGATAGTTAAAGAAATTATGAAATTCACAATCAGAATTCTACAGAGACAATTCTCATCGCTCAGTAGGAAAATTATTGTGCAAGCTTATAGAATATCGATGAAAATAGTAGAAACAAGTATTGAATAAATAATTAATAACACCAACGATAACATATGACTACGATAAGATATATTAAGCCGTTTTAAAATTCTCATTAAAAGAGAGTGTAAAACAGCGAGAGCGAGAGCGAGAGAGCGATAATAAATATTGTTCGACTAACGAATACACTTCAGTGAAGAATGGAAAACATGTAATTAAACAATTAAATTTAGTAGAAAATTAAAATGTTGTTGCAAAATAGTTAGGTTAAATCCCATAATTGTTGTTTTTGTAAACAAAAAACGTTTGTTTATTAATGGTAATGTTTACCAGGGGGTAAGGCAAGGAATGTCATGAATATCGGAAAAAGCTACGATTCCTCATCAGTTTCCTTGGTTTTTATCTGGGGATATTATCCTCAGTAGTTATATAAAAATAATTCCGATGACAAAAAACTTTTTTCTTCTAAATCTTACAACTACATAACAAGTGGATTTTTTTTATACCCTCCACCATAGTATGGAGGGTATATTAAGTTTGCCATTCCGTTTGTAACATCTCGAAATACACATTTTAGACCCCACATTTAGACCCCACAAAGTATATATATTCTTGATCAGCATAAAATTCTATGTCGATTAAGGAATGTCCGTCCGTCTGTGGAAATCACTCTAGCTTCCGAACGAATTGAAGTAATTTGATAAAATTTTGCTCAAATGTATGTTATGTCTGCAAGACTTTTGGTATTAAAAATGGGCCATGTAGGTCCACGTTTTGGTATAGCCCCCATATAACGGTACCTCCCGATATTCGGTATTTTGATGATTTTAGCGACATTTTTCACCGGAATTGTTTCAAATTTTGTATTTAAAGTTCATAATGGATACTACAGCCTAAGACAGAAAATTGTCCATGCAGGTCTACGTCTTCGTAGAGCCCCCTATATAAAGGTACCTCCCGATATTCGGTATTTTGATGATTTTAGCGACATTTCCTCACCGGAATTGTTTCAAATTTGGTATTTGAAGTTCATAATGGATACTACAGCCTACGACAGAAAATTGTCTGTGCAGGTTCACCTCTTGGTAAAGCACCCATATAACAGTACCTCCCGATATTCGGCATTTTAATGATTTTAGCGAATTTCTTTACCGAAATTTGTTATTTGAAGTTCGTAATGAATACTACAGCCTAAGACAGAAAATTGTCTGTGCAGGTCCACGTCTTCGTATAGCCCCCATATAACGGTATCTCCAAATATTCGGTATTTTGATGATCTTAGGGTCATTATTCACCGGAATTGTTTCAAATTACGTATTTAGAGTTCGTGATTTGAACTACAGTCTGCGACAGAAAATTGTCTATGCAGGTCCAGGTCTTCGCACAGTTCCGATGTAACGGTACCTCCCTATATACGACATTTTGATGATTTTTTTTTTTTTTGATGACTTATGACAAACAATGCCTATGTAGGTCCACGTTGTATAGATTTTTTAGGGATTTAATTTTTTGAAAATTTCCAAATTCGTTCCAAATGGTGGAGGGTATTCTATGTTCGGCCCAGCCGAACTTACTGCTTTTTAACTTTTTTTTTATTTTATAACCCGCCTATTTTAATACAACAAAAGTCACAGGGATCATTACTTCTTGTTTGGAAATATTGAATGATTCTTACTCTAAACCATGACAAAAAAATACAGCGGGATGCATCAACGCTTGTGAGATGTGTCAAAAATGTTAAAATATATTTAATTATTAATTTATTTATTTTTTTCAAAAATAAGTAGAATCTTATTGTTTTGCCAAACGGAGTTTGTAATGACATGCAACAATTTTCACAAATTTCAATATTTTCTCATTCAAAATTATCAATTGTCATAAGTTCCCTCCCTGCCAGTTATAGCGTACAAAGATAAAGCAGATATGACTGACTGACGAAATAACTACCGATTCACTTGAAACGGCACAGACCCATAAAAACACAGGTCAATTGAAATTCTAAAGTGTTCATTTAGTTGTTCATTGCGGCTCGGTGCGGAAACACATAACAAAACGCGCGTCCGTTAAACATGGAACGTTCCAAGTTGTCACTGATCTGCGTATTCGCTGTGATCGCAAGCTTATCGTTGCAAATTACCCCCACCAATGGAGCCAATATTTTGGGCATTTTCACAAGTCACAGTCCGTCGCATTTAATTGTCCATATGTCGGTGGTTAAAGTATTGGCCGAACGTGGACACAATGTTACCGTGGTCGTAACCCAAAAACCCAAAGTTACCCATAAGGATATCAATGTCATTGTTATACCGCCAAAACCCGATGTTGAGGAGAAGCTGAATCGTGAAGTGTCCGGCATGGCATTGAAAAAGAACAGCCTAATTAATACCGTATCGAATTTCTTTGGTTCGCTCAGTTTGCTAATCGATATGCAAAGGGATGCCTTGCAGGACGCCCGTTTCACAGCGCTCTACGATAATCCCCAATATGATTTGGTGATCATTGGTTTCTTTTTTAATAATTTCCAATTGGGCGCCGCAGCAAAATTCAAGGCTCCAGTTGCCATAAGTTGGTCCGGCCCATCTATATCCATGACAGATAATTTCATTGGCAATCCCCTGGAAGTGTCGTATGTACCCAACATGAATATGGCCATAAAGGCGGGTGAAAAAATGACCCTTCTACAGAGAATACAAAATATCTTCATGAATGGTTTCTTCGATATGATCATGACTGCAATGGACTTTAAAATGAGGGCGTTTTATAAGTAAGTAATTTCCTATACGATTACAATTAAGATATTTCAAGAGAGAAGTAGTCCATCGCATAGAGTCAGCGAAGATTCGTCATTTATTTGACGTATCTCTTTTCTTCTTCTCTATCTAAAAATCTCGGGTTTTATTCCATTAAACATTCTATGGATTAGTTCCGAGTGCTCATCACTTGAAATGTTTGTTTACATTTGTTTATTTACACTCGTTCACAAGCAGTTTTATAAATTTGCCTTAAGCAAAACAAAACAGGTGTGTACGATAATTTATGCAGTACAATTTACTCAGCAACTTGTACTCGGAGAATTTTCTCTGTCACGTACAAATATTGTAAAAGGTTAGCGAATTATAATCAGCAAAATCCAACAAGAAAACAGCTGTTAGCAAAATGTATGCGGCTATTATAAATAGTTTAGAGGATTGAAAAACTACAATAAGCGCTTATTATTTATATAATGGCCTACATTTATTACCAGCTGATTTTCAATCAGCTGCTGACACTGAATAATTCCTATTGAGATCATTTTCACTGATGCAAATTCTTGAGGTTAAAAGTAATCAAAACTTAAAACGTGACTTCTAAGCCTAAAAATACAACACTGTTATCAGCTAGTGTTGTATTTTTACGCTAACGATTTACGCGTTGCTCTTTATAAGGTGAGAAAGGAGCGTAGGGCCAAAATCGAACTATGTCAACCTAAAACTCCTTTGTTCCTCTACGAAGAAGCCAGCCGATGACTTAAACCATTGAAAAAAGCATTTTATGTACTCTCACCTTTAGCCTTCACTTATTGAACTTTTTGCTTAGCACACATCATGGTAGAAAAATACAGGTAGATGCATCAACGCTTGGGAGCATTGATATGTCAATTTTTTTTAAATATTTCTTCAAAAATAAGTATATTTGTATATGTTTTCCTACACGACGCCAATCGGTGGTTCTTATAATATGCATTTTTTTAACAATATTTACAAATTTGAGTAATTTTTCATTCAACAATTTTGATTCCAAAATTGGTTTGACAGTTCGTTGTCCCAGCAGCTGTGTTGAAGCGTCTACCTATATACTTCTACCATGGCACACATTCTGCAAAAAGTTGTACAAATTATTAGACTATCGTGCACACCTAATATTTTATACAAAGTTCACATTATACGTGGCTTGGTCTCGATACTATCACTTGATAAATCACTTCAGAACTACTAGTGATAAAAGAGTGAACTGTCAGATGAAAATAGTTTAAAAGTATAAAGACGGAAAAATGAAAATACTGCGCAGAAATGTCAAAATTGTGTCAACACTTAACCGTGCTACCAAACAGCTGATGAAAATAGAATAACGAAGTTACAAGATTTGTGTGTTGGGAAATATTTTAATGAATTTTTGTAAAAAATGCAATCAATGGAAAAAAATAAAAAACATAAATATTAGCAATTAAATTAAATGAAATGTCAAATTCACTAATTGACAGATTTTCCAATTTATCTTGCCCAAATTCGTGGCGTAAAAAGTTTCTAAAGAAAACATACATTCATTTTTGTTTAGAGACATGGTAGAAGAATACAGGTAGTCGCATCGACACAGCTGCTGGGACAATGGACTGTCAAACCGGTTTTGGAATAGAAAATCATATCAACGATTTTTGTATGTTGTTTTATTCAAAACACGTTCCTGTATTCTTAAGTTTGCATTTTGAACTGTCGAAAATAAATAGTTTAAAAGTACAAGAACGGAAAAGTGGCAACACTAAGCAAAAACGTCAAAATTGTGTCAGCAAAAATGATGCTACCAAACAGCTGATGAAAATAGAATAACAAAGTTAGGAAATATTTTAATGAATTTCAAAGAATAGAATAATGCAGGCAACAAAAATAAATAAATGGTTTCATTCGAAACATCAGATAGCAAGTGATTTGTATGAAATGTCAGATTCGCTGTTTGACAGAATATCCAATTTAGCTTTAGTTTCTGAAGAGAACATACATATAGAAGACGAGAGATTAATGAAGAGAAGAGAAGAGAAGTGAACATTTTGCAACTTCTCGAAATACGGGACTATTTTTTTGTAAAAAATTGAGGAAGGTAAAGTAATTTCAAATACGCATACCCATCTCTGCACTTTCTGCAGTGTATATTGTACAATTTCACTGCATAGAAAACAGGTTCCCATCTCTGATTTGTGTGTATACAATGGATTTATAAACATATATTTTTGCTCTGATCCAGAATCTGCAAGAATATACTACTTTTGCAAATTTTTTTAATAAGAATTAAGACTTGAGAATTAAGAAGGTAAAGCCATTTCAAATAAGCATACCCATCTCTGCACTTACTGTAATTTACCTAATCAAATTTCCGTGCATAGAAAACTGTCAAAATACTGTCATATTTTATTTGTGTATATAAAATGGATTTATGAAGACACATTTTGACACTGAGATGCTGTCAAAGGTATTATTTTGAAAAAAAAAAATACAAACATATGTTTGCACAACTTTACCTTCTTAACTCTACCATGGAATTATGTTAATATGGAATTCGTGTCCTATAAATGGGTTAACTCGTGTACGCAAGCAACGTTGTTCAAATCCCAATGCAAACATGGTATTAGGAAACAAAATAAATCTTTCAAAATGTACGGAGAGAATAAAAAGATTTTTTTTTCTAGCAAATTTCAAGCCAAACTTGAACTAAAAGACACTATAAATTTTATTTATGCTTTCTATAGTAAAATTTATTGAGATTGATCAGTTATCAAGGTTAATTCGGGTAAATATTTTATGTGTAAACGTCAATCTCAAACCCCTTTTGTATGTTTGCGAAGCCAGCATTGCAGAAGAATACAGGAAGATGCATCAACGTTTGGGAGCATTGATATGTCACAATATTTAAATGTTTTTTTTTTTTTTTTCAAATATAAGTAGATTTTTATATGTTTTCTTATACTACGTTATTCGGAGGCTATTATAATTCGCATTTTCAACAATTTTTACAAATTTAAAGAATTTTTCATTCAACATTTTCAATCTTTTCAAGAAACATTTTTGACATATTAATGTTCCCAAGCGTTGATGCATCTACCTGTATTCTTGTACCATGGATATATGTCAAAATTAAATTATTCTCACCTTTATTTTTTATAGTACCATGTTCCCATTAGCATTTGAACGACGTTGTTTGATCCAAATTATGTGCAATGACTTATGCGAGAAAAACAATTCTTCTATATATTTGCCTGTTCCAGAACTGCAAGAATGTAGCATTTTTACTAAGATAACTAATTTTTCGAAATAGGAAGTTGCAAAACTAATCGATTCTTGAACAGAACTATTCTCAATTATATGCTAATCTATGTTTGGGTTAACCTTTAAAAATATGTTTTTCCACCTTGTAGTGAGCTTTTCCCCAATGATGGCAGCTTCCCCACCTTGAAGGAAATGATGAAGAATATATCCCTAGTTTTGGTTAACGGTCATTTCAGTGAAGGCCCCATAAGACCAAATGTACCGGCTCTAGTTGAAGTGGGTGGAATACAAGTCAAGGATAAACCCGATCCATTGCCAAAGGTAAGTTTTACAAACTACAAATGCTCAGTTCCAGATTCTGTAGAAAACTACAAGAAAATCGGTTATGGCCGAGCCGAGCAAAAGCTTTAAATTAAAACAATTAGTTAATTTTATTTAATTTTCTTTTAAGGACATTGCCGATTTCCTCGACGGCGCCAAGGAACACGGTGCCATACTCTTCAGTTTGGGTTCAAATCTCAAGGGTTCCAGCATTAAGCCGGAAACAGCAACCTATATTTTCAACGTTTTGTCAAAGCTTAAACAAAAGGTCATTTGGAAATGGGAAGACTTGAAAAATACCCCAGGAAAATCAGCAAATATCTTGTACAAAAAATGGATGCCTCAGGACGATATATTGGCCCATCCGAACATAAGATTGTTTATAACACATGCCGGTAAGGGTGGTGTCGCCGAGGCCCAATATCATGGTGTACCCATGATGGCTTTGCCCGTCTTTGCCGATCAACATGGTAACGCCGATAAGATTGTCAAATCCGGTTATGGCAAACAACTTGAGTTGCTCACCCTCACCGAGGACAAGTTGAGAGAGAATGTTTTGGAATTACTCAATAATCCGATGTATCGTAAAAATGTACAAGAATTTAGCAAACTCTATCGTGATCGACCATTGTCGGCTCGAGAAAATGCCGCCTTTTGGCTGGAATATGTAATACGTCATCATGGAGCTGCCCATATGCAAAGTCCTTTGGTCCACATGAATTTCATTGAAAGCAATAATTTAGATGTCTATGCCGTCCTCTTGGCGGTGTTCTATGTTTTATATCGCATCTTTAGATTAATGCTCTGTTTCGCCTGCAAGAAGTTATTGAAAAAGAATTGCAGTGGTGCAGCGTCCAAAGATAAATCAAAGAAAAAAGTTAAAAAACAATAATTTATTTTTATTAGATATCGATATTTAATTAATTTTTGTTTTGTTATTCATAATTTTGTTGTAAATAAATTTTTTTATTATAAATTTTTTTTAACAAATTGAGAATTTTAATCATGGTGGAATAAAGAAGGTGATCTTATTTCAAATTAGCATATCCAGCTCAAAATTCTCTAGGATAGGAGACTGATTTCCATCTCTGATTTGTGTACATACAAGGGATTTATGAATATACATTTTGACAGTGAGATGATGTCAAATTGTAAATATATGTCATGAGGTTACACCATGCCCATATTTGTCATGTTAGAAAAAAACATATTATAAAATTAGTCATCACCTTCGTATTAAAATATGAGATTAAAAATTTAGTATTGTAGGTTCTGGAACATTTTTGATATTTAAACAATATCAGCAAAATACTGTACGTTTTAGCCTATCATTGTAAATACTAAATTAATCAAAGATTACCTAATGGCCTCTTTGGGCACCATACCCACTTGTACGTGCTTTGTTGCCGTCCCCATGGCATAGTGTTTTATCAAGACACCATTGTGGCAATGCAGAATCTAAAGTTTTGATTATCTATCATCCCTATCGACATTGACTAAACTTCCACTTGAATTGAATTAATTGATAAGATATCAGAATATATACAAATTCGGGTGTTTTCAAAATGTTTATTTCAACGTATGGATCGACAAAATCTAGAGTTTTTGTAGCGAAATAATCCTTTAGAGATATATAGTACATGATTTTGAAAAGAAGTGCTGACCTTCCATTCAGTTATCGCGTTTTTCAATTATTTATTCAAAACAAATGCAACAAGTTGTTTGATTTTTTATTGTTTTGATACTAATTCTGACATTACAAGCCAAACAGGTAGACCTCTATACTTGCAATTTTTTCAAAGTTGGCCTACCTTCTCTTCATTGTACCATGCTCATATTGATGTGCTCAAAAAGGTGGTTTTTATGTACCCCCAACAGTATTTCAAAAACCTGGCCGTCCCTTTCATGTTTCGTGATTTTCTTTCAAATTAAAAACATAATTTTAATGAACTGGTTAGACTCGGGTTATGCGAGTGGAAAACCCCATATCTCTGGACCCAGAAATGGTATTATCATCAACAATAATTTGACATCAATTTGGTTGACCCCCGTAATGGACCCTACTTCCGAAAATTACCCCAAAACCAACTGTTGCACATTAAAAGTCTATTTGACACTTTAAGGCTCCATCACAGAGTTGCATTTTTCACAGTTTCGCAGTTGCGCAGTCTTTGCCTTTGTGCCATAGTTATACATAACTTGGTAATATAAAATATATTTTCTTGTAATTATATTCAATAAACAATATCTCATTAATGTTTTTAAAGATTTCAACGATTTGTAAATATACAGTGTCTTTATTTTGTCGGGATCACGTGTTATGTGTTATCAACTCATGGTGATTGTCAAATGTGGTAGTTTTGTTAATATTTCGCTATGAATTATTATTTATCGTTTCCTTCAATCCATTCTCTTTCTAAACATTTTGGACTGGGGTGCTGGCACGGTAGAAGAATACAGGTAGTCGCATCAACACAGCTGCTGGGACAATGAACTGACAAACCAATTTTTAAATTGAACTTTTTGAATGAAAAATTATTCAAATATGTAATAATTGTTAAAAACTTCGTATCATAACAACCTCCGATTGGCGTTGTACAATAAAATAAGCACAAATCATTTTTTTTGAAGAAACATTTAAAATTTTTTGACATGCCAATGTTCCCAAGCTTTGATCCATCTACCTGTATCCTTCTACCATGGATTCTGGAATACGAAAAATAAGCATTGAAGTTAGTATTTTTCCATCGATTTGGTCCTCATACATGTTTTTACATGATGTGTGACTTTGGCCTACCTTTTGTTTCGCAAATAAAGTATGTAAAATATTAGCATATCTTAACATGATATTAAATTAATTATTTTATTTCTAACAGAAAATCGTTTAGAAATCATAATTAAAGATATTAAAAAATAATCTATTAACACTGGCATGGCAGAAGAATACAGGTAGATGCATCAACGCTTGGGAGCATTGATATGTCAAAAAAATTTAAATGTTTTTTTTTCAAAAATAAGTAGATTTTTATATGTTTTCTTATACTACGTCATTCGGAGGCTATTATAATTTGCGTTTTCAACAATTTTTACAAATTTAAATAATTTTTCATTCAACATTTTCAATTCCAAAATTGGTTTGACAGTTCATTGTCCCAGCACCTGTGTCGACGCGTCTACCTATATTCTTCTACCATGAACACTGGTATGGATCACATCTTCTGTGTTATCATTTCATGGCGATTGACAAATGTGATATTTGAGGTAATATTTCGCTATGAATTACTATTTATCGTTCTCTTCATTCCATTCTCTTTCTAAACATTTGGACTGCGGAGCTGGAAGACGTCGTTTGGATTGCTGCTTAGGATATAGAACCACGTGAAGCTTTAACATGATAAATCAGGATTTGGTTGATTACTTGAAAGGTCATGGAGTATGTGTTGTATGCCAGCTGAGATATCTGAAGGCACGTGGCAATGAATATAAAGATATAAAAGAGAGCTTAGAGAAGGTAAGAAGCTACATCTAATTAAATAGGGAATTCATTCACAACAACTACTCTATTACAGCTCAATGTCAAATATGAGGCGGCAGCTCCACAAGATGAAGAAGAGGACAATAGTGAAACGGTGTGTAAGAAAGCAAAGCAACAAAGTTGTCCCTGCTGTTTGGGACTGTTTTCGCATAGCTTTCAGTCTCAGCTGATTGAATCCATACTCCAAACAGATATCCACAAATTTGAATGCAGTGATATTGTTGTGGCCATATCAATGCCCATGATTGTACAGACAAGACAACTGGCAATGTGGTATGCACTGCTGGAAAAATTTGGCAATAAGATTGACAAGGAACGTGCACCAGATGTTCCGCTTAAAGAGGCAATAAAATTAATTATAAATCCCATTATCTGTAAGGAACTACAGAAGGGATATGATGCCAATGGGATTATGATAAATATACAACTGTCTCACAACATGGAGGAGGATAATTTAAAGAAATTGAAACAACTTCATGAGAAAGCCTTTCCCACTGCCCCAAATACCAAACGTCAGGTGGTATCACGAGGAGTACTTGATAAACAGTATATGCCAAAACGGATAAAAGCTGATCTGTTCAAGGAGTATTTTACAGTACCACCACAGGCCGATGATATCCTTAAACTAGATTCCATTGAAATGACGGGCCCAACGGTATTTGTGGCTGGTCGATATCGTAAAATATCCCGGGAATTGTCTCATACCCCCTGGGTACTAAATGGCAAACGGGTTATGGAAGACAGCATTGAGGAGATAATAATACGAACAGTGGCTCCCTACTTTTGGTGTGTAGAAATCGTTCATTGAAATTTAAAAAATATTTATTATTTCACTCCTTTCAGCAAAGACATTTCTAGAGTAATTTTTATGTCGAGTGGACGAGAGGATGTCGATGTACGTTGTCTTGGTAAAGGCAGACCTTTTGTTTTGGAAATTCCCAACTCAATACATACCACACTTCCTACTGCTGAAGCTCATCGCATGGAATGTGAAATTGATAAATCATGTAAATTATCTGTGAAAAATCTTCAAATGGTGCAACGAGAAGAACTGGTACACATCAAATCCGGCGAGGAACAAAAGAAAAAATACTACAGAGCTCTCTGTAAATTACATGATCCTGCAACACCGGAGATACTACAGAAGTTAGACATACCGGAAGGCTTTCAAATACAACAAAAGACCCCAATACGTGTACTCCATCGCCGGCCCCTGCACACAAGACCGCGAATGATTTACAAGATGAAAGCTTCGGTCGATAAAGATAATTTAAGGGTTCTAGTTCTAGATGTGGTAAGTCAAGCGGGCACCTACATTAAAGAACTAGTTCACGGCGAATTTGGACGTACAACACCATCGGTTTCCTCAATCATTGGACAACCAGTTGATATTTTAGCTTTGGATGTAATGGCAATTGATTTAGATTGGCCCAAGGATGTTGACAACAGTCTCCCAGAATAACATTTCGTAATTCGTTGTTTTTAACAATAAAACACCCATATATAAATTGTTTATTTCTTTTTGTAATTTCAATTTCCTTTTGTACAAAATAAGAATTTACCACAAATTCTAAACCGATTAAAACAGCATTTCGAATGCACTTAAATAGAAAAACTAAGCTTTATAACCAATAAGGTTTTGTGAGGTGATTTGAGGCAAATCCTTGATACCATTTTTATCCACCACGGCCACATTAAATTTGGGCAAATTTATGACCAAACGTTTTTGAATTTCCACAACACATTTTTTCAAAACATCATAGGCCTCCTCTTGGGTTATATTGTCATAGTGGTATCGATCAAAGATACTGGCACAGAACATGCCACCATAACCCTGGCCGGCATATTTAACCGACTTGGCATTGGCCAAATAGTCAATGTAATGCAATTCTGGTCCTTCCTTAGGGTCGTATCTAAAAATGGATGGCAATGGGTTAAAAGCGGCCAGAGTAATATCCTATATCTATACTTACCCCGCAACAAACAAGTTCACTTGATATGGCGTACGGGAACGTAAATAATCAGCCAAATTTTTACGTGTAAAATGGGCAGCACATTTAGGACTCAAATCATAGCCATTACACATTTTGTATAGGGCAATATTTTTGGAAATAAACTCTGTAAACTGGACTGTATCACCCGACTCGCCAATAGTAGCAAACATTAAATTGTCAGCAATTTTTGTTATTTTATTTTCATCTGCCAATGAAATGTAGAAAAAATATTCAATCATTTGTTTTTGTGTGTTGAGAAATCACTTAGTCCTTACCTTCTTTCATCACGATGATGGATCGTGCCTGTGTTGTGTCAGCGGCTAGCATAACAAAATCAGGACCGCGAATACCCAGAATAGTTTCCATTTTTTGTTAATTTAGTTTTGAAAGAAGATATTCCTAAATAAAACAATTGTTTGCAAAAATTTTAGCTCCCTTGAATGTCTTTGCTAAACGAGCCGGAATGACAATTGTGTTTTTCGCGTCAAGTCATTACCAGTGTTGCCATACGTATAAGTTTTCCTCAAACAATATGGTAAATGGAAAATATCCCATTAAGGTCTCTGGCAACAAGTCAAATTGGAAATTAATGTTTACTAGCGCGTTTATACTATTAGAGATTAACCCACTGGTTTATTAACATGGTAGAAAAATACAGGTAGATGCATCAACGCTTGGGAGCATTGATATGTCAAAATTATTTTAGTTTCTTTTCAAATGTAAGTAGATTTTTATATGTTTTCTAATACAACGTCGTTTGGAGGTTATTATAATGCGTGTTTTTCAACGATTTTTACAAATTTAAATAACTTTTCATTCAACATTTTCAATTCCAAAATTGGTTTGACAGTTCATTGTCCCAGCAGCTGCGTCGATGCGTCTACCTATATTTTTACAAATTTAAATAACTTTTCATTCAACATTTTCAATTCCAAAATTGGTTTGACAGTTCATTGTCCCAGCAGCTGCGTCGATGCGTCTACCTATATTCTTCTACCATGTTTATTAAATCCAATTATTAAATGGGTTATTAAAACCAATTGTTTGTTTAGATACACGCATTGTAGAAGAATAAAACTAGTCGCATTGACACAGCTGCTGGAACAAAGAACTGTCAAACCGATTTTAGAATTGAAAAAGTTGAATGAAAATTTATTGCAGTTTTTAAAAATTGTTAAAAAATACATATCATAACAACCTATGATCTGCGTCGTATAAGAAAACATATAAAAATCTACTTATTTTTTAAAAATCATTTTAAAAGTTTTGACATATCAATGTGGATTAATCCGGACAACTTTGTAATTAACGCCCTATTATTTAGCTATACTTCCATGGTATAAGAATACTGGTAGTCGCATCGACACTGCTGCTGGGACAATGAACTGTCAAACCGATTTTGATAATGTTCAAAAATGTCTATAACTTGGGGACAAAATGTTTGATCGTAAAAATAGAAATATTATTTTCACTTTTTCATTTTACGCCGTTTGATGTTAAAAATTGAATTAGTAGTATTCACACATATATGTACCAATTTTACCAATCAATAATTAAGTAGGAATTTCAATAGGTTTGTTTTACGATTATGTGTGTCGACATACCCCTTAGTTTTCTCACTTTCTTTCAGTGTATTTTATGTATTTTGGCATTTGTTTGCTTTTTGCATGCATATGTTGCCCGCCCTGTTGTTGACATATTTGAAAAGCAAGCGTTATTTGCCCCGCTGTTGTGCTGTCAAACATTTTTTGTTTGCAACAGAACACAACTAAAGGAATTTTAATTAAGCGATGTATTTTTTGTTTAAATGACAAGAGACCTGAAAAATAAGACAACAAATTAAAAACAGACAAATATAATTGTTTAGAATATTAATGCAATTGTAAATTTAAGCAGTTAAGTGCAAAAAGGCGCAATTATGGCAACACGACGGAGGCCACCATTGACCCAGGAAAATGATGATAGACGCCGCAGTAGTTTAGGTAATAAACAATCGACTAGTGGAGGTGCTGGAACAAAAACTCCCCTGAGAACACCCCAGAAGCAGCAGCAACAGACTCAGCCACCAGTACAGGATGTGGAAATGACAGAACAGCCCATGGCGGGCGATGCTTTGGATGACGCCAATATGTCAGATGATGAAGAAGGTGGAACACGTATTGGTGATATTTATATACCGCCACCTATACCCCCATACTGTTCCACAGAAAGCAAAGGGCCACGATTGATTATTAAGAAAATTGAAAATTTCAATTTTAAAAGTTATGCAGGCAAAGTTGTGCTCGGACCATTTCATCATGTAAGTACAGATGCCGCAAAACAAATTTTGAATATATTCTAATTATTGCGTATAGTGCTTTACAGCCATTATTGGTCCTAACGGCAGCGGTAAGAGTAACGTTATTGATTCTATGTTGTTTGTGTTTGGTTATCGCGCCAATAAAATCCGCTGCAAGAAAATCTCAACTTTACTCCATAATTCGGCCCGTTATCCCAATGTAAATATGTGTTCAGTGGCTGTACATTTTCGCCAAATACTGGACAAAGAAGATGGCACCTGCGAAGAGATACCTGATAGTGAAATTATTGTGGAACGTACGGCATATCGTGACAATTCGTCGTATTACACCATAAATGGTAAAAGGAAACAATTTAAGGATGTGGCTAAATTGCTGAAAAAACATCATGTTGACTTGGATCACAATCGGTTTCTGATCTTACAGGTAGTATTATAAAAACAAAGATAATTTTTAAAATTAAAATTAAATTTGGTGTTATTTTTAGGGTGAGGTTGAATCGATTTCCATGATGAAACCCAAAGGTTTGGCCGAGGGTGAATGTGGTATGTTGGAATATCTAGAAGATATTGTGGGTACGACACGTTATAAGGAGCCCTTAATCAAGATAAATGAACGTGTTGAACTCTTGACCGAAGAACGTACAGAGAAACATAATCGCTGTAAGCTGGCCGAACGTGAAATGAAAGACTTGGAACAACCCTATAATGATGCCGTTGAATATCTACGTCAAGAAAATGAAAATACCCGTACAAAAAATCTTCGTATCCAAAAGTATTTAAGTGAGAAGAATAAGAAACTGGAAGAGTACACAAAACATCACGAAGAGATCAGCAATGAACTGAAGGAACATGACAATCAAGTTGATACATTGCGCAAGGAGCGTGAGGAAAAGGAAGATATTATTAAAAAGGAAATGCAGTAAGTAATTCTACACAAATTAAGAATCGTCTTAAGCAATTAATAACATGATAAGATAAGGATTTATATCACACACAAAATATGTATAATCAAAATCAAATTGAATTGAAAAATAGTTGTCCTAGTTCCAAAATCAATAGATTTGTTTATAATTCAATTTTTGATAACAACAATCTAATTGTTTTTTAGAAATCATGATAATCTGCGCAAGAAAAAGGAAGACATTGAAAAGAAACTTGAAAAGGCCAAGGGAAATTTCGCCGAAACCCAGGAAACCATGACAGTGCTGAATAAACGACGTCATGCAAATAAAAATCAAGTGACCAAAAATGAAAAAGAATTAGAAGATCTGCGTAAGGTACCGGAAAAAAATGAAAAAGAAATCGAAGAATGCGAAAAGAAACTGGAACGTTTGGTTAAACAGAAGGCCGAACAAGAAGAAGAGCTACAACGCAACTACACTCTGTTGGAAGAACAAACCAAACCCTTGATTGAGCAACGTGAAAAACTTGAAACCGAACTAATGGATTTAAAATTAAATGTTGATGAAGCAAAGGCCGATTTAGCCATGTCTCAATCTGAGTTGAAAATCTTAAAAAGTGACGAAACTGCCGAGACCCGCAAATATGAGACCCTTAAATCATCCTATGAAGATTCGGAAAAAAGTCTTGCCGAAAAGAAAGAACAAGTGGTAGAGTTAAATGCCCGTCTGCCTGAACTCAAAAAAGATATACATGAAAAGACATTGAAATTGAAACAACTGCAACAAGAAGAACAACAACTGAGACAACAAGTTATGACGATCAAAGCTGAGGTAAGTAAGCTTGGAGATTTAAAAGTTGAATGAAAATGTTCCAATATTAAAATCTTTTTTTTTTTCCATTGTTTAGATAAATGAAAAAGTTGTTAGTGTACAAGCCATGCGTTCCAACAACAAAGTTTTGGACTTTTTAATGCGCCAGAAAGCCGAAGGGAAAATACCTGGTATACTGGGACGTCTTGGAGATTTGGGAGCAATTGATGCTAAATACGATGTAGCCATCTCAACGGCCTGTGGTCGTTTAGATAATATCCTCGTCGATACGGTTAATACGGCCCAAACCTGTATTGAACACTTGAAACGTTATGATGTGGGCAGAGCCTCGTTTATTGCTTTGGAAAAAGTGGAATATCTAGCAAATCAATCCGGTCCGATTCATACGTAAGTGAAATCCTCAAAATAATCCTTATTTTAGTATTTCAGCTTTAAAGAAATATTTTCATCAGCCCTTTATCATGTCTACTTCTGGTAACACTCGTAAAAAGGTTAAACATTTCGAACACTCAAAAATCTCAAACTAACCTTTTTTTCTCATATCCCATCGTAATATTTTTTATCAAACCTAGGCCATATTCACAAATGGTCAAAATATTAAGAGGTGTAAGAGCAATTTTTTTTCAATTCAAATTTATTGAGTCTTTTTTTAACACGAAAATTTACAATTTTGAAGTAAATATTTCTATCAGCCCTTTATCAGGTCTACTTCTAGTATCACTCGTAAAACCTATAGGTCTCCAAGTGGAGCGGTTGCCATATGGCAATCGCGCGTCCTTTAACCTAACCTAACCTATCACTCGTAAAATATTAAAAATTTCGAACATTAAAAAATCTCAAACTAACCTTTTTTCTGAAGTCCCATAGTTATATGGTCAAAATATCAAGCCCTTTTGCCATTTGAAAAACCTATGCATTTTAAACGAGGTGAAGTCGCCAATTCATTAAAATTTTTATTCATTTTTTTCTTTCTTTCAAATTCGTTGTAAGTAATCTCTTTGTTTTCCGTCTCTTTTTCAGCCCCGAAAATGTCTCACGCCTTTACGATTTGGTACGTGTTGAAGATGAACGAGTTCTGCCAGCTTTCTATTTTGCACTACGTAATACCCTGGTGTCCACAGACTTGGAGCAAGGTACACGTATTGCCTATGGCGCCAAACGTTTCCGCGTTGTCACCCTGAATGGTGATCTCATTGAGACTTCAGGTACAATGTCCGGTGGTGGTCGTACACAGATTCGCGGTAAAATGGGTACAAAAGTTCGAACCAATACGCGACAATCATTAGATAACTCTGGAGTGTCGCAGAAAGATTTGGAAGCAATGCAAATAAAATGTGAAGAATTATCATCACAAATCAACTACAATCAAGAGGAACAAGGTCGGCTGGAACGTGAAGTTCAGCAATTGAATGTAACACATCAACGCACTGAAGGTGATTTACAAAAAATATCGATTACCATAAAAAGTTTGGAGGATCAATTGCCACGTATCTTCAAACAACTGGAGGCTCAAAAGAAACGTATGGATCAAACGCTCACCGATGCCTCCAAAGTTGAGGATATCCAAGAGGTAATTAAACAGAAAACCGCTACCCTTAAATCCGCCGAAGAAGAAGCCGGTAAGATGGAGAAGAAAATTGCCGAAATTAAAAAGAAAATCGACAGCATCCATGGTGATACCATTAAGGCCGTTCAAACTAAAATCAACAGCATAGATAATCAAATCAAAAAGCTAAAGGGAAATGTATCGAAATTGAAGGTTGAAGTTACAAATGTTGAGCGTAATGTGAAGAAAATGGAATCTCAAATTGAACGTTTAAATGGGGAAATTGAAAAGTCTCAAGATGAGCTGAAACAATTGTCCGAAAAGCGCACAGCATTTGACGAAGAAATTTGTGCACTGCAAAAAGAACTTGAGGAGGCTAAGGAGGCTATCGATAAAGCGAAATCGGAGTCATCGGGTGTACACAAGGAAATTTTGGCCATACAAAAAACCGAAAGTGACCTCAAACTGAAACGTGTGGAAATTGAACAGAAACTACAAACAGTGGCAGCCAAAATGTCTGAAGTTAAATCTCAAATTCCACATTGGCGGGATCAATTGAAGCCCTTACGTTTACACGAAATACCAGGGGACACTGAACCGCCTGCTCCGTTGAAAAAATACACCGAAGAAGAGTTGGCCACTCACACATTACAAGACATCCAATACAAGGAGAGTGTTCAAGAGGAATTGCTAAAAAAGAAACCCAATCTGTCTTGCATTCAAGAATACATAGAAAAACGTGATGTGTATTTGGAGCGAGTAAAAATCCTAGAAGACATTACCTGCAAACGTAATGAAATGCGTCAGCTGTACGATGATGTGCGTAAGAAACGTTACAACGAATTTATGTCCGGTTTTCATATCATTACACGCAAGCTAAAGGAAATGTACCAAATGATTACACAGGGTGGTGATGCCGAACTCGAATTGGTGGACTCCATGGATCCATTTACCGAAGGTGTTTCATTCAGTGTACGGCCACCGAAAAAGACCTGGAAAAACATATCGAATTTGTCGGGTGGTGAAAAGACTCTTTCCTCTTTGGCATTGGTATTTGCTTTGCATTATTACAAACCATCGCCGCTGTATTTTATGGATGAAATCGATGCTGCCTTAGATTTTAAAAACATATCCATTGTGGCCCATTACATTAAGGAGCGTACCAAAAATGCTCAATTCATCATCATTTCACTGAGATCGAATATGTTTGAGTTATCCGATTATTTAGTTGGTATTTATAAGGTCAAGGATTGTACCGATTCGGTGTGTATACAAAATGAGCCGCCAAAAATGCCCGAAATACAACAGACACAAATGACACAGCAAACACAATTCCAACCGGCTCATTTAATGCAATCAATTGTGACCAGTGCAGATAACACACTGGTGGGCAGCAGCACGCAGCCGCAACCGGCCAATGCTTTAAATCAAACAAATCCGCCACCTACGCCCATGGATAGCAAAGAACCGCCATCAGTATTAGCTGGGAAATCTGTAAGTCTGGATGATTCCATTGATGAGCCGCCACCACCTGCCACATCATCAGCAACGACGGCTGTTGACAATGATGAAAACTTTCGACCACGTTCCACATTTGCGGCAAGTCAAAATATGACTTTTCTACCCCAAATAGAAAGTACGGCCCTCTCCGCCACTCAACTGGATATAACACAAAGTCAAACGATTGGCACTCCCAATAGGAGTTCCCAGTTCAAGCAGCCCGCCCCCGTTACTCACGAACAAACGCCGCCTACCTCTAATTGATACCTAATGTTTTCTTGTCCCGTGGAACGGGATAAATGTTCATTGTTTCTTCTTTTTCATCATTTTCTGTTTCGTTTATTTCACCAATTGTACGATTGCCATGCATCCATATGTATTTGCATTTTTTTAACTAGCCTATAAAATAAAAATATACTAACAATAAAATAATTAACTTGGGTCTTTTATTAATATATAAAAATAGTCGTATATGATTCTTGGAATTCAAAGGTTTATTATACAAAAGCTAGTCACATTTCTGCAAATATTATGATCATCACAGAATCTTAGCAATATTTTTACAAATCTCCTCCAAAGCCTGTGTCGTTGCATTACTAACCGATGTTATGTCTTCGCCCTTATCGCATGCCTTAGTAAGCTCAGGATCCAAAGGCAATGAACCTAAAAATGGCACTTGCATCTCTTCACACATAGCCCGAGCTCCTCCCGTCTTGGCTGGGAATATTTCCGATGTATTACCACAGTGGCCACAACGGAATAGACTCATGTTCTCAACAACGCCCACAATTTCTATATTTTGTTTTTTACAAAAATTTATTTCCTTACGTACATCCAAAAGCGATACTTCCTGTGGCGTGGTCACAATAATGGCCTTTAGCGAATTGGGTTGATTTTCATCACGCAAATACGACACAACCGAAAGATGTTCATCAGATGTGCCCGGTGGTGTGTCAAGCAACAGCAAATCAAGATGACCCCAGTCGACTTCACTTAAAAATTGTCTGATCATGCCATTTTTCTTTGGACCACGCCAGATTATTGCATCATCTGGTGATCCCAAAAGGAAACCAATCGACATTAAACATATGTTATCATCTACTCCAACCGGTGACCATCCGGAACCGGACTGATGGACATTTTCTCCTTCAACTCCCATTAGACGCGGCTGAGACGGGCCACATATATCGATATCCAAAACTCCAAAATTCTTATCGTTATAACTGCGTGCCATATATCGGGATAATAACATTGTGACCGTACTCTTGCCCACCCCACCTTTTCCTGATAAAATAAGCAATTTATTGCTCACATCTTTCATAGCTGCTGCAACAAGTGCTTTTCCTGGATCCTCAAGTTTCTTATTTGGATCACTGCATATTTTTTGATTAGGACATCCTTGACATGCACTTCCCAAGCCTGCATTTGCGCTTTGCACACCAGGACAATTTTCCGGTTCGGGCATCATCTTGGTTTTGGTCTGTTATAAAAAATCCAGTCGTTTGATAGGAAATTTGTATTGTTAGCAAAGAAATTAATCGAGAGATACTCCGATGGAAATATGGAACCAAGTCCAACTATGACAGATCAGCTGTTAAGAGCTTGGACAACTTAAGGGCAGAGTTGCCAGTTCATAGCAATATCTAAAGTAGTGTACCATGATATACGGGTAGGCGCATAAACACAAATGCTGGGACAATGAACTGTCAAACTAATATTGGAATTGAAATTTTTGAATAAAAATTTTTTCAAATTTGTAAAAAAAAAAAATAAAAAAAATACATATCATCGCAACCTCCCATTGGCGTCGTATAGAAAAAAATATAAATCTACTTATTTTGAAAAAGAATATTAAAAAAATTAGACATATCAATGCATCTTCCTGTATTCTTCTATCATGACAATATTATACAATGTCCATGATACGATAAAATCAAATAATATCCATCTCTGCATTGAAAACTGGTTCCCATCTCTGATTTTTTATATATCAATATTTTTATATGTATTAGATGAAGCATGAAGATGGAATACTTCGGTCGACTATAGCTGGCATGGTACAATAAAAAGGTAAGGTAGAGCTCCCAGCTGTTTACAATTTTTTTCTAGGTGTGCCAGACTTCTGCCAATTTTGTGTATGTATTTGTTGTTTTGAAAAATGAAAACAAAACATTTTCAAAGTCGATGATTGAAAGAAACTAAAATTGCGGGTCGCGCAATAGTAATATTAACCAGATTTGCCATGGAATTGAAAGATTGAACTCTTAGGATCATATTTTTGAGAGAATTTCATTCATCTTTCACGCTATTTGACTCATTTTTTAAAATGAACAAAAAATACCAAATAAATAAAAACAATTTGTTGCCTATAATTTTGAATAATTCTGACAGGAAGCGGGCATAGCCTCAGGGCTGTATTTCTGTAGTTTTACGAAGCTGTTCTACCTCCTTATTGTACCATGATAACTGGTACATGGTAGAAGAATACAGGTAGTCGCATCGGCACAGTGGGACAATGAACTGGAATTGGACAATGAATTTAGAATTGAAAATGTTGAATGAAAAATTGTTGAAATTTGTAAAAATTGTTAAAAAATGCATATTATAACAACCACCAATATGCGTCGTATAAGAAGACATTTAGAAATATACTTATGTTTGATAAAACATGTAAAAAAATTGACATATCAATGTTCCCAAGCGTTGATGCATCTACCTCTATTCTCCTACCATGGCACATGTTAATATTTTCTAAAAATTATCCCATATGTCATTTAAATATTGAAAATTCTTGGGCGAAATACAGCAATGATTATGCGGTCCAACTCTGATAAATTATATGATGTACACATGTCTAACAATCTGTAAAAATTTTGTCATCTACAGCATTTTGAAATTTTCTTATATTTGTATGTTCCATTTTACGTTACGTTGTCCACTAATTACAAACAACAATTCAAATACAACCCGTCAATTGACACGTCAACCATATTGACAGCCTCTTTCTTTTTTTTTGCAAACTGCACCAGTGTCAGGTCAGTGTAGTTTTCCACGACGACGATTTTCTTTTACACATATTTTCCTTGTTTTTAAAAGGGAAATCGTGGAAAATTGTCCATCAATTGCAGTAGGTGTAAACATTGCATTTAATAACGCAGAATATAGCCAAGAAATTGACTTAAAATATGGCAGAACAAATTGTTGACCAAGTGGTCGAAGCCGTCAAGGATGCGGTCGAGGCAGCAGTTGAGAAAAATGCAACCAGCGAAGAAACGATAACAAATGAAAAAGTACCCTCAACACCAGAAGGAATTGCAGTGGCCTATGGTTCACTGGTGATTATGGCTATGCTGCCCATTGTTTTTGGTTCCATACGCTCAGTCAAATTGCACAAAGCCAAAAAAGTGAGTTCCATAAAAATGTATTTTTTAATTGTTGTTTGTGTTGTAGTACAAGTTGTTTTTGTTAAGTACTTTTTTTTAATAATTGTCGTGTTGGTACACGTTTAGTGTTTTTTGTTGTTTTTGTCGAGGGGGAGTTAAATCCACACAAATGACAACAACTAGCAACAACCAATCAGTATTGAGAGAGTTGAAGCTGGTGTGGGGATTTTTTTTCTATTTACTCTATTTTTATAAAAACAACTCACGTCTGAAGCGACCACATCAGCAGCAATATGGTTTATTTAAATAAGTTGGATGTATAATATGTTCAAACAAAAAAAGGGTTTATGTGGCAAAATTAGATCAAATCAGATGTTTTGAAAAAAATTAAAATATTTCTCCTATAATGATAATTGTTTGTCATTTTTTAGAAGTTTTGTTTCCTAAAATGGTTTCTAAGGCGGGGTGCATTTGCGGCGTTTTGAACCCCGTAACATTAGATATAAAGCTTCGGCATCTGACATAGACATTCATGCTATTCCTAAGATGTTTTCTATTACAAACTGAGTTTCTTTTTTCATTACGAATTCCAGACCATGAAACGTATGTAAAAATGGATATAATGGTCCTGGCCCAAACAACCAAAAATTTTGAAGTGGCTGGAGTCGGCCAACTTTTTTTAGAATAGGCTTCCAAATTTGATGATTTATTCCTAATATCCCCATTTTGCAATTTAGTATTTTAACCAACTCTTCAATATTTTTATTTGGTCAGACGATTTAAATTTGCTTCACTTTCCATCCTAATTCTGTATATAATTTTATTCCTAATATTCCCATTTTGCAATTTAGTATTTTAACCAACTCTTCAATATCCTTTTGGTCAGACGATTTAAATTTACTTCACTTTCTATCCTAACTCTGGATATAATTTTGCGCTCAGTTTTTCAGTTGTTTTATTTTACAAATTTTTCTTTTGTTTCTTTTTTTCTAGGTTAGTGGCGAAAAAGCTGACACAATGACAAAAAAGGATGCCATGTTCTTCCCCATTATTGCATCTGTGGCCCTGTTTGGTCTCTATACCTTCTTTAAGGTATTTTCGAAAAATCACATCAATCTCTTGTTGACTGGCTATTTCTTCTTTTTGGGAGTGATTGCCTTGGCTCATTTGCTTAGTCCCATTGTGAATTCATTGATGCCAGCTGCAGTGCCAAAAATACCATTCCATATTCATTTTACCAAAGGCGAAGGCAAAAACAAAGAAGATCTCATTAATTACAAATTCTCCACCCATGACATTGTGTGCTTGGTCTTGTCCACGGCAATTGGTGTCTGGTATCTTTTGAAGAAACACTGGATTGCCAATAATATGTTTGGTTTGGCTTTTGCCGTAAACGGTGTTGAAATGTTGCATTTGAATAACATTGTTACTGGTTGTATTCTATTGAGCGGATTGTTCTTCTATGACATCTTCTGGGTGTTTGGCACAAATGTTATGGTTACTGTGGCCAAAAGTTTTGAGGCTCCTATTAAGCTAGTCTTCCCTCAGGATTTGATCACCAACGGCTTGAGTGCATCGAACTTTGCCATGTTGGGTTTGGGTGATATTGTCATTCCTGGCATCTTTATTGCACTGTTGTTGCGTTTCGATCACAGCACCAAGCGCAAGAGCCGCATCTATTTCTATTCCACCTTGACCGCCTATTTCTTGGGTTTGATGGCCACCATCTTTGTAATGCATGTATTCAAACATGCCCAACCAGCTTTGTTGTATTTGGTGCCTGCCTGCATGGGTACACCATTGTTGGTGGCTTTAGTACGCGGTGAACTCAAGACTCTGTTTGCGTAAGTATTTTTTATTTTATTTACTTTGAATTTTATGCTAAATTCTTATTTTTTTTTAGTTATGAAGATCATCCTGAGGAGAAACCCGAAAAGAAGGAAACCAAGGAGAGTAGCAGCAGCAACAAAAAGAAAGAATCCAAAAAAGCCAAATGATTATCAGGCGATTTTCAAACACATACTACTGACACATCCACCACCACCACCGCAAACACCTTACATTCTGCATCGCCATCGTCGTCACCGGTGGCACCGTTTATACGTGTAAAGCGTTATCCGAAACATTTTTCTATACGACCCAATTCATATATATAGTCTGGTTTTTGATGAGAAATGATTCTTTCGTTCCAGAGAGCAACAGAAACAAAAAATATTTTTTTATACTTTGCTAATGTTTTGTTTTTTTCTAAACTATGCTATTAGTTTATTATACACACACACTATATACAATATACACCCTTTTAATAATACAAAAGTAGTATAATATTAGTCGTTTTTTTCGAAAGACCCTTTAAAAAATGCAATCAGAATTGTCCAAAACAGTAATTGTAAATATTTTTAAGAGAACTTCCCTCCTTCTATCCAATAAGGCTCTATAACAAATCAGCTGCTTTATTTTGCAGTTGAAATTCCTTTAATTTTCGCTTTAACTTATATACAAAAAAAAAAATATAAAACAAAATTGAAAGAGTGCATATATGTAATTAAAAAATAAATATGAAAATATAAAGTTTATTAATATGAACTTATGCGGTAATAAAACAAAAATTAGTTTATATTTAACTAAACGAGAGGATGTTTTTCATTACCTACATTAATATCGAAAAAATTTAGCCTGTCCATTGGATTTTTTCCATTTAAATGGCTTAACCTTTCAAAATACTCAAATTCGACCGGAACAGTTAAGTGGCTCACTGTGTATGTTTTAAACCCCCTTATCCTTTAGATTGGTTTTATCATTTCACATTCCCCAAAATTATTTGGTATATGCTCTGCATTTTCTATTCGGCCCCATAAAGCAACGTCGATAAACAGGTGGGGATCCATCAAAACTTACCGACAAGGAATGGCACGAATTATGGCTTTCAAACGGTCAATGAAACCGTCACACGCTGCCCGAAGGTTGCTCTGCCGTATTTCGGCGAAGAGCTTGCTTGAGGTGATCGACACTTTGGTATTTTTTATTGTCCAACGGAGATTTTGTTGGCCATTGTGCGCTGGAAATTAAGCGAGGAATCTTATTTCTCATCTCAGTGCGAAGGTGCTGAGTCATGTTGGAATGTCCAAGGACTGCGGCTTCCAGAATATTTTCGCAATAATATTCGGGATTTATTTTTGATGCCACGGTCGAATAATACGAGCGGAGAGCGACCATCGACTGTTATGGCGGCCCACACCATCACCATGGCCGACGCTTGAGTTCTGGTGGCCAACCGAAGGTGCACATTTCCAGCTGACCTCTTCGGCAAGTAAAAACGATCATTTTGTTTGTTTACAAACTGCAACAACGAATGTTTTCTCGCTCTTTTGAGTCTATTTTCTTTCTGTTGCGGTGTAAGTTCTTGTTCTTTTTGGCATTTCAATGGCTTTACCCCGAGCTCATTTTTCAATATTTGCTGAATGGAATATTGCGATATATTCAGCTCACGAGCCATTTTTCGGCCACTGCGACGCGGGCTTCGATCAAATCGCTTCTTTACTTTTCGAACCATTTCTGCTGATGTTGCTGCTTCCGTCCACTTTTTGAATTTTTAAAGGAATTTGGCACATTTTCTGGTATTGTCTAGACTTTGGAAATTCTGGTTATCTCGGATCCCATCCTTTTGACAAAACTCCCGTGATGTCCCAACACCATTCCCCATAATTATCAATTGAAACTAAAAATATTTTCTTCATTAAGGTTTATATCATCAAAACATGATGACTTCTCTTTATTGTTGTTTTTCTTTTTCAGATACCTAAATAATTGCTTTAAAATAAGCAAAATATATATTTTACATTGATAGTAAAACAGGAGATTTAAATTAAATAAACACTATTTCATTCACATAAAAAATTAAGAATTTAATACAGGAGAAAAGTTGTGTTTTTTTTTTTTTTTTTTATTTAAACTTTTTTCAGAGTTTGTGTTTTTGTGTCAAAAGAATATATTTATAGTTAGTTATTGGTGTACGCCTATTTACGCTGCCAATCAACCAAATGGTCATTATTAAGCCAAATGGGAAGAGATGGTTTGGCATATATTCATATTGCTTATGAAATAGTTCTAGGGTTAAATTATCGGCCTTCAACTGGAAAAGTGAAACAAAAAAGAATTAGTATTTCTTTCAATATTTGAAGACATCATTGCTATACTTACTGTAAGAGGATAAATCAATTTCATCGGGTAACTCCGTGATATTCACATCGAAACGATCTTGAACTTCATTCAGAATCTTGGCATCGGCTTCGTCCGAAACAAAGGTAATGGCCAAACCCTTGGTACCAAAGCGACCAGCACGAGCCACACGATGCAAATAGGTGTCCGAATCCTCAGGCATATCATAGTTGAAAACAATATTGACACGTTCAATATCCATGCCACGTCCAAACAAGTTTGTGGCCACCAAAATACGTTTTTGGAAATCCTTGAATTGCTGATAACGGTTCAGACGTTCCTCTTGAGTCATGCCACGATGAATACCAATGGCGGGGAAATTTTGTTCTGTCAATAGCTGGGCCAGTGCCATGCAACGCTGTACCGATTTTACGAAAATAACGACCTATAAATATCCCCAAAGAAAATAATAAATCATTTATGTAAATTAAATCCTGAAAATGCTTTCTTTGTGCTGTGTTGATAAAACCCACTTGATTAAATTCCAATACATCCAAAAGTTCAAATAATTTTTGTTTTTCTCATTTTCTTTTAGCTTGACATAATGCTGCTGCAGGCCATGCAATGTCAACTTGGCTTCGTCGTCCACATACACTTCCATGGGCTGCAATAATCATAACAAAAATGTATTATTAAAATATTACAAAAAAAATCCATTAAAAAACATGTTTCTTCAGTATTCGTTGCTAAATTTCTTTTTTGAACCTATGTTGTTAATTTGTTTGCTACATACGGCTAGGCTACACAACCAACACCACCAAAGACGTTCTCTCAAAACAAGTGCGAGTTGCTGTTTGAACAGAATCCTGCTCGACAAAGTAGTAGCAGTTGTAGGTCACTCTGGCAAAAGAGTCCTTCAGATTCCATCTGAGACATTGGATGTGATCAATCATCTATTGAGAGTCGTTATGGATTCACGGAACTCCGTTCGGTATAATTCGTAATAATACGCCACGATGCTACAGATGTTGCACCCGTGCTTCCATCAACAATTTATGCAATGGACATTTTTAGATGTTGTGATGGTTTTTAAAAACCATTTGTTTAAATCCTTTTCGATCGTTTTGTTATACAGATCCGAATTTATTTTGTTATTTTTTGTAACGTTTATGTATGCCCGTTTAGTATTTTTTATTTATTTTCCCCTTGAGTCTGGCCGGAAAACTCAAGGAGACGTTGTAGATAGAAAATTATTATTTATCAGCATTTCAAATGCTTCTTAACGTTTTAATTTTCCGATTATTTTAAGTAGTCTCGATCTCAAGCAAAGTAACAATTCTCATTCTAGTTGTTCATGTTGTTACAACCACGAAAATTAAACTAATTTTAAAACTTTTATTTTGTGTTATGCTTATTGTTGTTTTGTGTAGCATTTCAGACGAAGAACATTTACGTGTTTTTGAGATTCCGCTTTGTGGTGGCATAACTAATGAATTTCGTATGACAACAACTAGGTTTAGTAGTAGTAGAAGTATTGATAGAGATATGGAGAACACGTTGTTGATATTTACATCTTGCATGAATTTTTTGCAAACTGGACGAATGTCTTTGCTTAAGGTGGCGGAAAACATCATAACTTGTTTTCCATGAGGTGTACTGCGGAAAATCTCCTGAACATCGCGTCGCATATCTGAAATTAAATAATTAAAAAAAAAATTAATATACAAATGAAAAATCATATGATTCGTTAGTCACTAATTTATAGAGATGATTTCAATAGCAAATTTAATGTAACACTTGCAGGCACACATCCGACAAAAATTCCAAATATGATTGATATTTCACGATCTGCTGTAGCATAATCATGAAACATCTGAACTTAATTTAAAAAACATAAGAGCATATTTGTTGCGTGTGCATGTTTCATCCTGATAAGACAGATGTGGTGTTATTGGAACTTTACTCGGTAAACATTGGATATTTAGTTTGTGCCCCAATATGTATTTCTTCTTTCTAAATAACAATAGGCTATAGTATCTATCTATGTGCTTGTGATAACTTACCAAGTTGTTCCAACATTTTATCACATTCATCAAGGATGAAATGTTTCAAATGCTTCAAGTTAAGTTTCTTGTTGCGTATCAAAGCCAAAATGCGACCAGGTGTGCCTACAACAATGTGTGGTGTGACATTCTTCAAAGTTTCCTCATCTTTTTGTATGGACAAACCGCCAAAGAAGACTCCAACCTTAAAAAAGAAAGAAGGTATATTTCAGTATAGGAACAGTCTACAGCAAATGCTAATTCTCTACACTGATTTTGTGCGAACTTACCTTTACGGAAGGCATATATTTAGAGAAACGTTCGTACTCCTTGCTAATTTGGAATGCAAGTTCGCGAGTATGACACATGACTAGAACATAGACAACATTCTCGGTGGGTTCAAGTTGCTGAAGTGTGGCGAGCACGAAAACAGCAGTTTTACCCATACCAGATTTAGCCTGGCACAAAATGTCCATGCCCAATACAGCCTGGGGAATACATTCATGTTGCACTATAAAACACAATACAATCAATTTTCATTGAATTTCAAGATTTTATGTTATTTCCTGAAAACTCACCTTCAGATGGATGTTCAAAACCGCAATCAACAATGGCTCTTAGAATTTCAGGCTTAAGGAGGAAATCACGAAAACCCGAACTGTGTATCGACACATAGGTACCTTTTACATCTTTTTTTGGCGCCTCTTGTGTCTCGGCTACAGTGGTCTCGGTCTGTTCCTCATCCTCGTAATCCAAAAGATCATCATTATCAGCCATTTTTGTGTGTTACTTTTTGTTTTCGAAACTACAGACAATATATAAATAGCCGCGTGTGCTAAAAAATGGAAAGAGAGCTCGGTTATGACTCAAAAATATCTATTATACACGCTTCTTGGTCAGCTTTGGAAAAAATGCGACATGACATTTGGCATAATTTCACCGGTTGACGCCATTTTTAAATCATGATGAGGTTAGTCAAAATTACCAACAACCACTGCACTTCATTTAAAGTAAAAATAATAGCAAAAAACGTAATAACTAATAACTTACCTTTATAAATGCTTTGTCAATATATTGTGGTTATTTTACTAAATAATTTATATTTTTTTCTTTTACAAGCACAAAATTTCCACAATTTTCCCTTTCGCGTGTGTGTCTGTTCGGCTTGGTAGGTAGTTTCGATAAGTCGCGCAGCACGACGCCGACTTCGGGCATATATAAATGTTCAGTGCTGCCAAGTTTAATCATTCAAATGTGAACAAGCTAAATGAAAGCGCAGAGTGGCTTACGTTGCGTTAAGGCCAAAAATTGTGTGGAAAATGCAACCCTGGTTATTGTAATTGTGCATTTACACAAAATAATTCATAGAATTTCGACTGCAAAGCCGTAAATAAACTCATATTTAAAATATGACATTTGTACAATAATACCAAACAATAGCACAATAAAGAGTTGAGTGTGCCGACTTCTGCCAATTTTATATATGTATTGTTTTGAAAAATTAAAACAAAAATTTTCAAAATCAATGATTGGAAGAAACGTTCATTACAGGACGCGCATTAAGGATATTACCCAGTTTTGTTTGAAAAGTTTGGATCATATTTTTGAAAGAAAACCTAGTTATTTCATTCATCTTTCGCTCTATTTAATTCATTTCAAAAATTAAGGAAAATTATTAAATAAATGAAAACAACTTTTGCATATAATTTCGGATAATTCCGACAGGAAGGTTGCTCAACTTCAAGAAACTGGGAAAATGCAACTCTGAACAAGAGTCTTATAGTGTTAAACATGAAACAATTGGTTTTTTTTCCACTAACTTGGAAAATATGCAGTTCAGTTGAAACTGAATTTGAAATGTTTTCAAATTATTTTATCTTTTATTCAAACCAATACACACACAAACAGAAACTGTTTTGACAAAAAAAATATAAAATGTTTGACATATCAATGTTCCCAAGCGTTAATACACCTGTATTCTTCTGCAGGAATCTACTAGTTTTGCAACATTTGTCGATATCATAAAGGACAAATCGGTTATCGTTGTAAAAACTTTTACCTCCTTACAGTTCTGGAACAGACCATATATCTGGATTTGCTGTTTTCGTTCGAAAAGAAAAAACTGTACTTTCTGCACAGAATCTCACAAATAGAATTATTATTTAAAATACACTTAATCACATATGTGTGAACATGCTTTTAGTGCATACTTGATGATTTTGTAAATTGATGATTTCGTACATATAAAAATGCAATACTCGCAATTTTGGAAAATCAACGTCACACTCATACGCAAGTCTTCTAAAAAAACTCCGAGATATTTAAAGGCAATTATTCAAAAATTCAAATGACATTAAAAACATAGTTGTGTTCCAGTACTTTTTTAGTAGTAAAACTAGCAGAAGAGAGAACAGTTCGAAATGTCATTCTCATTTAGGTTTGCTCAAAAAATAAGGGAACGGAAAATTAGCAGAAATGCGATAAAATGTCAAAATTCAAAATTCCAAAAGTAAATAGCCTAAATCGGACTGGTGAAACCTTACTGAAAAGAGCGCCAACATTTAAGAAATGAGTATTGAAGACGATAAGTTAAAATTAATAATTTATAATAATAATTAATAATCTGATTTCTCATTCAGCCAGTCCTCTTCACTGCTGGAATCATCCAAAAGTGAATACATCAGTTGCTCCATATTTTCTCTTTTTGTTTTTTGCACAACAAATATTAGTTTTTCCTTTAGTTTTCAAGTTGATCATTTTCTTTATTGAAATGTATCAATACATTTTTCAACCTTGTTTGCCCTGCCAATTAAATGTCAAATTTACAATATGCACATTTCTGCTCGGCCAAATTCATGTAGCTAAAACAAGCAGAAATGTGCACCACTCAGCGCCGTTTTGTTATCGAGAGAGCTGCAAGTTTTGCTAGTTTTTGGAGTACGGGAACGCGTTGTAGCAGAATTAGTGCTAATTAGTACTAATTTGTAGGTTCTGGAACACAACTCATGTTTGAGGCCAAAATGTTTTATTAGTTCAAAACGCCGTCACACTTTCCACATCATCTCTGTAGTCATTTGCGCGCCTTTTATCTATAGCTATCGATCTATCGATACATTGTTGCACAAAACAATCACAAACACATCTGCATCTGGAGAACAAACAACAACCTCCGCAAAATACATATAACTGCTTAATAAAATAAACAGTTATGTTTCTAATAATTCTATGGTCCTAGATTCTTCATACTGCCGGCAAATTTCAAATATTTTATTAAAAAATAAATACAAACGCAACTAAGTTTTCTACACGTTAAGCTGAAGAAACGCAGAGGAACAAAAGAAACCATGGCACGAGATCGCGAGCCTCAGTCACAGACGCAAGGAGCAACTCAAAGCCAGTCATCTAATATATGGAGCCAGGTTGAGAGTCAGCCAATTGAAAACATTGTTTGGGGACGACTCTATGGGAAAAACATCAAAGTCAAATCTCTGGGTACGACGGGCAAATATAAGATTTTGTATCTGAATTCGTCTTTTTCTGTTGGTAACATTATGTTTTCTGTCAAAAAATTGGTATTTTTTTGTTGTATGTTATTTGTGTCCTTGATGTAGATTTGATATATTGATAAAAATGTCTTAATTTTATGTGTATACCATTGCGTTTTTTTTCATTGTGCAGATTTAAGCAATGAAAGTTTCACCGCTGGCCGTGGAGATAACAATGATCTTATATTGACGCTCAATGATTTACCAGAGAAAATATTGTGTCGCATATCGAAGGTCCATTTTGTAATACGAAGAGCTAACTGTGATCTATCCAATCCTGTTTACATTGAGGTGGGTATTGTATTGCAACATATTTATTAGAATGTCACTTGACTACTGGATTTTCCTGTAGGACCTTTCGCGCAATGGAACGTTTGTGAATAGTGAAAGAATTGGTACCAATAGCAGACGTATTCTACAAAATGATGATATTATATCGCTATCGCATCCCACGTACAAAGGTATGTTGGCAACTAATTTGAATTGTATCAAAGTAAACACATATGCCTTTCAGCTTTTGTCTTCAAAGATCTCAGTCCCAATGAGGCAATGGGTTTGCCCAAAGAAATTACTTCAAATTATTATGTTAGTCGTAAATTAGGCTCTGGAGCTTGTGGTCTGGTGCGTCTGGTCTATGACAGGCGTTCGTGCCAAGAATATGCCATGAAAATTGTCAAGAAAAACATGCTGGCAACCAGTACTAGCCCCAATCATTTAACAGATCCAAATCGTGTTATGAATGAGGCAAAAATTATGAAAAATCTAGATCATGTAAGTTTTTTTTTTGTTGTTTTTACTATTTTTAAGAGTTTCTATAAGAACAACTCATTTTTCATTTCACAGCCCTGTGTCATTAATATGCACGATATTGTTGATAAGCCAGACTCAGTTTATATGGTTTTAGAATTCATGAAAGGAGGCGATTTACTCAATCGCATTGTTGAAAATAAAAGGCTGTCGGAAAAGATTTCCAAACTTTTCTTCTATCAAATGTGTCATGCGGTTAAATATTTACATGATAAAGGTAATGTAACTTTAATAGAAGAAAATAATGTATTGTTGGTTTGGTTTAGTTTTAAGATTTGTTTTTTTTTTTTTTTTTCAAAATGTTTTGTTTTCAGGCATCACTCATAGAGATTTAAAGCCGGACAATGTGTTGCTTGAAACGTCGGACGAGGAAACATTATTAAAAGTTTCTGACTTTGGTTTGAGCAAATTTGTACAGAAGGATTCTGTAATGCGAACCTTGTGTGGCACACCTCTGTATGTTGCACCAGAAGTGCTGCTAACTGGTGGTCGTGGAGCGTACACAAAAAAGGTAGACATTTGGAGTTTGGGTGTGGTTCTTTTCACCTGGTAAGTTTAAATGGGCGTGTATACAGGGTGAGATAAAAAAAACTGCAACAAAGTCAAACATCACAATGAAATGAAAGCAAAAAATGTCGGAAATAGCATAAAATTTTAGCATAAGTTAAGATTTGTTCGAATTGGTCACCTTTAGCCCGAATTATGAAACCGTCACACGCTGCTCGATTGTTGCTCTGCGATATTTTGTCCCCTTCCCGACGAAGCGCTTGCTTTAGGTGATCGACACTTTGGTATTTTTTAGTGCCAACCTTGCTTTCTAAAATACTTCAGACACAATAGCCGAACAGATTGGTATCCGTTGTGTTGCGGTGTAAGTTCTTGCACTTTTTGGAATTTCAATGGATTTATCCCGAGCTCATTTTTCAATATTTGCCGAATGAAATATTACGATATGTTCAGCTTACGAGCCATTTTTCGGCCACTGCCGTGTCGCTTGTTTATTTTTCAAATCGCTTCTTTACTTTTCGAACCATTTCTGCTGATGTTGCTGTTTTCTTCAGTCCACTTCCTTGACGTCGGGCTACGCTACCAGTTTCACGGTAACGAGCGATGGTACGAGACACAAAAGATTTATTCACATTTAAAGGCTGGATTGCTCTAACGATAGCCATTTGTGGTTTTCCAGCCAAATATAAAGAAATTGCACTATCACGCTTGAATTCCATCACGAAAAACTTTTTTTTCTGGAAAATTCTCACCAATGCTTTTGTACGCTTGTAAACAATATAATGAGCTGTCACTGGAATAATTTCAACAGCTGTCGGACGAGTGGCTTAGAAATGAGGGTAGTCTGAAGTTGGTTGCAGTTTTTTCATATCACCCAGTATGTATATGAGTGCTTGATGGGTGGCAAATTTTCAATTCAATTTGTAGCATATATTTTATTGCAATCTATTTTAAAGTTATTCTTATTTAACATAACTTTTATTTATGCCTTAAAATAAAATCATTAGGATTTTTCAATTACAATTTAAGTGATATCGGTCCTCTGACTTTAAGGACTTCCAAGTAGTTGTATTATATTACTTTTGAATTTATTTTGTCTTACAGCCTTAGCGGAACTTTGCCCTTTTCTGACGATTACGGCTCTCCAGCCTCTGAACAAATCAAGAAGGGTCATTTTCGTTTCAATCATCCCTCATGGAAGCAGGTATCACAACGGGCAACATCCCTAATAAAAAACATGTTAATAGTTGACCCCCAAAGAAGGCCAACTATCGACGATGTACTACAAAGTAGCTGGCTCAAAGATCAGGAAATGTTGCGTACCGCCAATAAACTAATGAAAATCGAACCCATGGAAACCGAAGATGAAGAGAATTTTTTAGAACCTCCAATGAAACGTTCCAAACGGTAAACAAAACGTATTTACATTACCTCGTTAATTTAATATGGAGAAAGAAAAACCAACCACCAGTTGCCAAATAGAGTACTATTTTTTATTAGTTTAGTTATTTTATATATAGTATTAAGTCACCATTTTTGTGTTTGTTTTTTGTTCATTATTCAGTATACGTAAAAAATTGCCTTAGATTGGAATTCATTTGATATGATAAACATTCCATAGCAGCAGAAACTCCAAAAATTTGACAAGACAAAAAAACACTGTTAGCAAACAAAAATGAAATTATTTTCCGAAAATGTTGCAAGAGTTGTACTCTAAGATTTTTTTTTGTTAAATGTTGTCCACTCCAATGTTTTGTTAAACATTCTTATACCTCTTGTATAACTGATCATTATTAATATTTTTACTTGATCATTATTATTATTATTATTATTAATTATATGTATTGTACTGTTTATGTTGTATGCTTATGAGCTATGCTTTTATTAAAGCCATCAGAATACTGCTTTACAAATGATGGGAGGCTGTGATACGCCTTCATTTTTTATAAATAAATTTATTAAAAAAAAAATTTCAGAATTTTTGTGTTTCGAGTTCATGGTATGTAGAAAATGGTATGTCAGCATTTTTTAATAGGTACTCCTTTTTTCACTGTTGTTGTTTTCACATCGAAAATCATGTTTCAATATAAATGGTCAGGGTTCTCACTGGTATAGCACAACTAACTAAAAAAAATTTTCGAATCACCGGCAAATATCGGTAAAATTAAAACGGAATATCATGAATGGAAAGTCAAGTTGACAGCACTGTTCCTGTCGGTAGGACTTAGCGACTACTATATTTTGTGTAGCTAGCTGGCCGAAAAATTACAGAAAAAATTATCAACATTTAAGCATTTTAATTTTAACGATTTTGGTCGCTAACTTAAAAATGAATTAGAGATGTCGCCCTAGTCAGTCAAGGAACTAGTAAACACTCGGGTATGAAGTTACTCGTCTTTAAAAACAATCTTTTCTCTTCAATTCGATTGAAAGTTTTGTACATTTTATGCCACTTTTATATTAGAACTTTTTGTAGGGTTAATCTTTTTAAGAGGATTTATTTGAAGGTAATGTATATGACAATTTAAATCCATATCCATTAGGTAATCAAAAAGATATTACAATTGTTCTCTTCTGTGAACCTGCAGGAATGAGAGAAATGAGTAGGCACTACTAGATTTTAAATTATATTTATCAACATAAAAAAGAATTTAATTAAATATAAAATACGAATGGGATGTATCTAGTTCCCATGGTCCCTTTCATAAAACATTAGCTTGAACAGTCGTTTCGCACCTACACAACTCTTATAGTTTGACATCTAGTCAATATACCGCCGTCGCGGACAAAATCAACGAACTTTGTTCTCTGAAAAACAACACATTTATCCAGGACTAGTCCAGGAAATCCTCTAGAAAACAAATAATCAGAAAAGAATAGTAAATTTCTTTTTCATTGCATTGAATTAATCTTTTAACTTAAATTCGAAAAATGTCTTCTTCAGTTCATTGCCAATTATGGATGGGCAGCGTAAGTAGTTCACCCAATCTTGTTAACAGACAATATTTCTTACATTGTAAACAATGTGTTTCAGTTGGAGCCGTATATGACGGAAAATTTCGTCATAGCTGCCTTCCGGAAAATGGGCGAAGATCCAACCACAGTCCGTTTGATGCGTAACAAATATACAGGAGAACCTGCGGGTTATTGTTTTGTAAATTTTGCCACAGATGAAAAGGCCATGGATGCAATGCACAAATTAAATGGCAAACCCATACCAGGCACAAATCCCATTGTACGTTTTAGATTGAACAGTGCTAGCAATTCATATAAAATGCCCGGCAATGAAAGAGAATTCAGTGTTTGGGTTGGAGATCTCAGTTCCGATGTGGATGATTATCAACTGTATAAAGCATTCTCATCGAAGTACACCTCGATTAAAACAGCCAAAGTTATTATAGACAGTTCAGGATTTTCCAAGGGTTATGGATTTGTGCGATTCGGCATTGAAGATGAACAACAGTCGGCATTGTATGAAATGAATGGTTACATTGGCTTGGGTAGCAAACCCCTGAAAATTTGTAATGCCGTACCCAAACCTAAGAGTGAATTAGGCGTTGCCTTGGGTACATCGAACAGTAATTATGGTTATGGTGGTTCTGGGCCAACAGCAACCAGCAGTACAGCTAGCTCGGATTATACCCAGTACTATGATCCCAGTTCAACATATTGGCAAGGTAAGAGAAATGTTTTGAGTTTTGTCCAAAAAATGTAAAAATATTCTATTTCTAGGTTATAATGCATGGCAGAATTATTACGATGTAAGCACAGCAGCTGCCGATCCAACAAGTGCATATTATCAACAATCAATGGTTCAATCGCATTCGAATACCCAAACATTGGCCCAACATGCCGAGGCATGGAGTGCCCAGCGTAATGCTCAATATGAACAGCAAAACGCCGCCACTGCATCCAATGGTGGTGCCGATGACGAGGATGATAGCTATGCATTGGTGGAGCATAAATTCACATTGGATGTAGATAAAATGAATCGTGAAGCTCTTGATTCAGATCGTAATTTGTACGATGCCCTAGAGAGTTCCAAATGGTTACCGTTGGAACAACTAGAAGCATATTAGATATAGGTTTTATTTCATAAGTTATTATGTATTTTCTTAATAAAGCTGGATTACAAATTTTACGCAAATCATATTTGTTTTTAATCCTTTTTTTGAGCCTAAGTCCCTTGTTTTCAACTATTACAGCCATAAACATGAAGAGTTTAAATAGTTTTAATAGTAACTTAAAAAAATATTAAAAATAAAAGACTTTTCATGTTTAACTTATTTGAGCGTGTTTGGATATAACGGAATGTCTTGTCTATTTTTATTTGTGCACAGAAATTATATTTACAGCATTATTATTATATAGACAAATATATTATTTAATATCAATTGTAAATATAGGAAAAAAAGTGTGAAGCCTGCTTCTATAGGAATAAACATCAACGTCTCTAATTCTATTTGTATTCCAGTTTAAAATAGATCATAGAAATAATCTAATCCTTGGCCCAATTCCCATATAGATATACCAGTACCTAATTCCTGAGCTAATTTGAGGCGTTTGTTAATGGAGTATAGAGTTGGATAGAAAACATAATGACGTCCACTGCTTGTTCTGAAAGAAAAAGACAATTTCAAAATTAAAAAAAAAAAAAAAAATAAATCAATAGACTAGTTACAAATACAGGGTGAGATAAAAAACTGCAACAAAGTCAAACTCCATCATATTTACATTTTTTTATTGAATTAAAGCAAAAAATGTGGGAAATAGCATCGAATGTTAGAATAAGTTTAGATTAGTTCGAATTGGTCACCTTTGGCACGAATTATGGCCTTCAAACGGCCAATGAAACTACCACACGCTGCCCGAATGTTGCTCTGCGGTATTTTGGTCCATTCCAAGCGAAGCGCTTGCTTGAGGTGATCGACACTTTGGTATTTTTTAGTGCCAACCTTGACACAAAAGTCCAACGGATTGGTGTACGGAGATTTTGGTGGCCATTGTGCGCTGGAAATGAAGCGAGGAACCATTCTTGGGTGGCGCGTGCTGAATGCGATGGTGCTGTGTACTATTGGAATGTCCAAGGTCTGCGGCCAAAATGTTTGTGTGTCCAAGGCTTTAATACACTCTCCAGAATATTTTCGCAATAATATTCGGAATTTATTCTGATGCCACGGTCGATTAATACGAGCGGAGAGCGACCATCTGATGTTATGGCGGCCCACACCATTACCATGGACGGCGCTTGAGTTCTGGTGGCCAACCGAAGGTGCACATTTTCAGCTAACCTCTTTGGCAAGTAAACACGATCATTTTGTTTGTTTACAAACTGCTGAACAACAAATGTTTTCTCATCGGAGATTAGAGAAAACCAATTTCGGCAGTTCGCCAAGCGAAGCAACTCTTTAGCTCTTTTGAGTTTATTTTCTTTCTGTTGCGGTTTAAGTTCTTGCACTTTTTGCAATTTCAACGGCTTTACCTCGAACTCATTTTTTAATATTTGCCAAATGGAATATTGCGATATTTTCCATTTTTCGGCCACTGCGACGGGGGTTTCTATCATGTCGCTTCTTTACTTTTCGAACTATTTTTGCTGATGTTACTGTTTGCTTCCATCCACTTCCATGACTTCGGGCTACGCTACCAGTATCATGGTAACGAGCGATGGCACGAGACACAAAAGATTTATTCACATTTAAATGCTAGAGTGCTCTAACGATAGCCATTTATGGTTTTCCAGCCAAATATAAAGAAATCACACTATCACGCTTGAATTCCATCACAACTAACTTTTCTTCTGGAAAATTCTCACCAAAATGCTTTTGTAGGCTTGTAAACCATATAATGAGCTGTCACTGGAATAATTTTAACAGCTGTTGGACGAGTAGCTTACAAATGACAGCTGTCTGAAGTTGGTTGCAGTTTTTTCATCTCACCCTGTATTTACTTGTTGGGGATTTCTCTTCTTTAAATTAGCCTAATCTTAAAGAACGGGGGGAGCAAATAATATAGGAATATAAAATAATAATTTAATTACTAAAATTTCCCCCTTGTATCAGGACGAGTTAGCAAGAGCGAGAAATTCCACACAAGAAAACATTTTAAATAGGTGCGTTCATAGCTTTCATACTTACTTAACTTCGAAAAAATTCTCAACATCCCTTTCGTCATATGTTAGACGTCGTTTCAGGTGTTTGAGCAACGATAAATATTCCCCAGCAACAATGGGTCCACCACCGTCCGGAGTGTAGTCATTGCCATACATATTCATGCCCATTAAGATCTTCATACGTTTCTCCACCAAATTGACATCACTGCCAGACGGTGTAATATGTTCAATGGAACGTCTAATCCAATAAAGCGGGGAATTGGCACCCGGTCTTTGGACATTTGAAAAGTCATAGGTCATGAGGGAAAATTTGTAAATATGTTTGTACAACTGATCAAAATGTTGATGGGTAAACATGCTTGCGGCCTGCTGTCTGTACGGTGGTATTACCAAAATCAGTTTTAGGTCTCTGGCCTTTAGTTCATTACTAAGATCAATGGCAAGTTTTATCAGAAATTGATCATTGACACGTCCAGCCAACTGTAGCCAATATTCTAAAACTATGCCATCAAAGCCGTGCTCTATGCACAAGCTTACAATCACTTCAGCCAATTTCACTTTCTCCTTTTCAGATGACAATAATTTGGTGTAGTCCTCATTTCGGAAATTCTCAAAAAGTATCCTTGGGTAAACTAAAAAAAAAACATTTCGGTTACATTAATGACCATCCTCTAAGTCAATGAATACTCACACTCTGTAGTTCGGCTTGTGCCACTTTTGCTCTTCTCCCTTACTGTTTTCACCCAACGACTGTCAATATCATGTTTTCCTTGGACCACATAATTGCTTCCCTGTTTGACGACTTGAAACCACACAGGAGATATTATGTCCATCTTTGGTGCAAACGTTTTTGCTACATCATAACCGTGGGAATTCCACTGAAAAAATCATAAATTTTTCATGCAAATAGTTTAACATTTTAATCGAATAGTCCTACCGGTGTTACAAATCCCAAAACAGTCCCATTAAAATGTCGTATTGAGGTATCCTTGAAAAACGACCCACAATTAAGTAAAATTTCCTTGGCCGAGGGTTCCTGTTGTATCAAATCCAATTCGAAAACACTCTCATCTCTAGGGCCGGTTCTGGGTTTCGGTTGAGACTTTTTGCCGGGTGTTATGGTGCACTGCACCATTGTTGTGCAGAGCAGAACAAGCAGAGAGTATTTTAGAAATTCTTGCTGCCAACTTGACATATTTTGGGTTGGGAACAAATTTTTGGGGGATTAATGTTGTATTCCTTGGCAACTAGCCATGTAGTCAAGATTCAAGATATGTATGTCACAAGTTGTTGTTGTTGTTTTTTTTCGAGAGTAAACTACTCAGTGTTCCGGAAGTAAATTAGTTCAATGGATTGATTTTGTGAAAGGAATTATCGGAACTAGATGCACTTATTAGTTTCTCGGAACAGTTTAGTAAAAACTCTCGGATTTTTTTGAAATTTTTTCCAGAAGGAAAGTATTTTTTCTTGTGGGACGGAGACGGATACCTGGATTTTTGACCCAAGATCTGGACCTACTGAATAGATATTGACAATATAGATAAGATTAAAGCGTCAACTTTCGATCAAGTCGCTTCTTACTTATGGACACTTCTTGGAAGGGTATTTTTATTAGCTTTAAATATCATCAATATCGGTTTAGTAGGCCTGGATCTTGGACCCGGACTTTCCCGGAATAAAGGTGAAAATATCTGCCTCTGGAAAAAATTTCAAGAATATTTACTAAACTAGACTGGTTCCAGAGTCTGATTCCGGAGAGGAACTAAAAATTTACTATTTTTGTTTGTTTTAAAGTACCTGAGAGAATCTCTCTCTGTATTCTGAGGACAAATAAAATGCAAATAGGGAAGGCAGTATGATCATTAATCTCTAAACAGGAGGAGTGCTTCACACAAAATTTATGTGGAAACCAATTGATGCAAAGATTGATGCAAGATTCTTACTCAAGACTGATTTTTGAGTAGGAGGTGGCGTTTGTTATGGTTTCCTTGCCGACGTCAGGGAGGTATGATCAAATGAGCCATGGCTTACTCTGGATAAGCCGGGATATCCTCACACCTTGTTTTCTTTTATAACACATCCCCAATCTGTGGATTCGACCGGGCCGAACTTTTAATACCCTCCCATGGCAGAAGAATACAGGTAGATGCATCAACGCTTGGGAGCATTTATATGTCAAAAATGTAAATGTTTTTTCAAATATAAGTAGATTTTTATATGTTTTCTTATACGACATTATTCGGAGGTTATTATAATCCGTGTTTTCAACAATTTTTGCAAATTTATATAATTTTTCATTCAACATTTTCAATTCCAAAATTGGGTTGACAGTTCATTGTCCCAGCAGCTGTGTCGACGCGTCTACCTATATTCTTCTACCATGTACCCTCCACTTTTGGGTAAAGAAAAAATTTTTATGTAAAAGCATCTGAATTCAAACTTATTGCGTATTGAGTAAATTGATTGAGGCCTTTTATGGGGGTCATACCAAAACGGGAAACTCCAAATCTTCTGAAATAACAAATTTTAAACTATTTCGTGGGTAAATGTGACTAAAATGATAAAAATACCAAGTATCGTTGGGTATCGTTATATGTGCGCTATAGGAAAACGTGGACCGCCGGAGCTAGAACCCATTATGAACTACAAATACCACCTTTTAAACAAAACCCGTGGTAAAAACAATCAAAATACCGAATATCGGGAGGTACCGTTATATGGGGGCTACACCAAAAGGTAGACCTATATATACTATGTTCCGCCACCAGAGCTAGAACCCATTATGAACTACAAATACCAATTTTCAGACAAATCTGTGAAAAATATATAAAAACGTGGACCTATACATACAATGTTTCACCACCACAAATCTGGGAAAAAATATAACAGAAATCATCTAAAAACCGAATATCGGGAGATACCATTATATGGCGGCTATGTCAAAACGTGGACCAATATGTCCCATTTTAATACTAACCATCCGAGACACAATACAAATTGTTCTGCCAAATTTTAAGCTCTACGTGAAATAATATTTAGGGATGTTACAAACGGAATGAATATAACCTCCGTTTCAAGGTTGAGGATATAAAAATTAGCGCGGTCCCTATCCATACACACTGAATTGATATGATGCTTGAAAACTAAAGTAAAAAGATGTTGTTTTATTTCAACTTTGACAAATTGGCTAGACACGGAAGCCAGCCCCATGCCACTTCGTGATGGAGAAAAACTACTAAAGACCTTGTAATGCTTCGTTTCTTGCTTATGATCGTAGCATAGGATGAAGCGCGCCACCCATTCAGTCAACATTTCCCGTGTTAAGTTTGTACTTTGATATCCCCATCTGTTGCTGCTGTTTTTCCTAAATTAATTAAGACACCGCATATCACAAATAAAAATATGTATTTAATACTTTTTTTGTTGTAGAACACAAAGAATCAATTTGTTTTTCGTTTATTATGGATTTGTTTGTTTGTTTTGTTTTTGTTCTTTTAATATTATTTTTATATTATCATATAAATAATGCATATATGCGCACAATAGATTCGATCAATAAATATGATCAAATATTATACAAAAAAAGAAAAAAAAGGAAATATATATTTGTTTTATGTTTATGGGAAAAGGAAACTTAAAACATACTTGAGAGGGGGGAGTTGATGGTAACAATAATATTTAGATGTATGTGTTTTTATTTATGAATAATGTAATTATGCATATGTAATTTATTATAATACAATGTTTAAATAATAATCGTATATACCTTGAGTAAAAACCAAAAACTAAATATTATAGAATAGAGAAGATGCTATTTAATTAAAATTGAAATTTCATTTTATCTTTTCCTTGACGACGAATGATGATGATGAATTACACTTAAAAATAAATCTTATGAAGTAGGGTTTTTGTTTTACTTTTCTTTAAACTAAATATAAACTATTTCTTTATGAGACAATTGTTAAGATAATAGATACAAATTTTACATCATATATATATTTATAGATAGAAAAATAAAGACCACAAGTTAAAAGAATATTAGAAGTAAAACTCAATATAATATATCCAACGCTTGGTATAGGGGTTTAAAAAGACTTGTAGTCTTTTAAATTATAATAATATTTTTTAAACATTTAACACATTCAGAAATGGTATTTATTTTTCTTTTTTTGTGGAATATATATTTTTTTAAATATAAAACTAGGTTTTTTTTGTTGGTTTGTTTGTAAAACAGATAATAAATTAAGATTAAGGCAGATAGTGAAAATTATATATAGATATACCATAGATAGATAAGAGTGAGTAATTTTTTTATGTTGCTGTGCATCTGTATTGGTCTTAACATTATTTCAATTGAAAAGCCGTTTTAATTGGAAAGAAAGGGAAATAGAAAAAATGAAATAAATAAGTATTAATATTCTATTGTAGTTTAAAGTTTACAATATTTTCGAATTACAAAAATTGCTCATCGTCATTTCTCTGGGAAAAAGGGCAATTAGATTTGTTGGTCATCGCTGATGCAGATCCCATTTGATCAGAATTTTGAAATAAATCTGATTCATAAAAGATGATATAGGTACATAAAATGTCTCATACCAGGGTTATATATAGAAAAAATACCCAAATCTTCTGAACATTTAAATGCTGCAGAATGTTTATTGCATTTCTTGGGATAAGTTGGATTAATTTTCTTCTACATTTCTACTCCGTTTTCTGACTGAAATAATGTCAAAAATTATAGCCATAACAATTCTAACTTGTTTCTGGAACATATTCCCAAAAAAAACCTACATCTGTGCTCACCATACTTGGGATTTTTGCTAAGACCTTTAAATCAAAACAAGATTTGAATACAAATAGAAATCTCTCAAGGAATCAAGAATTGGAGTATTTATCAAATTTCACTGTTGCCCTAAATAAAGCAGAATAAAATGATTTCTTTGTTTTTTTTTTCTTGTAAAAGAAAAGAGCAAGTCCTATACCATCAGAACAGTGAGTACGTCTTGCAAATAGAAATATTGAAATCTAATGAATATAATTCGAAATTTGTAAAGAGACAAAGAGTGTGTGTGTGTTGAGGGAGGATAAGATTTAGAGAAAAACTGTCTTAATTTCTTCAAATTTTCAATGCATCTATGCAACTATTTGATAGGGAGCATGTCTATTGTTTTGTTGCTGCTGCTGTTGTTGTCGCTTTGTCATATTCATTAATTTTCGTCTACGTTCATAGAAACGATTAACAGGATTGATACGGGCTTGTTTTTCAACGGCCATCTCAGAATTCATATCAATATTAGGATTTGTTGTATCATTGCACGATGCAGCAGCAGCAGCAGCGCTGGCAGCGGAAGATGATGAACTATTGTTGCTATTTGTGTTTGGCTTCTTGCCATTAAGCATATCAGTCAATTTTTTTACAGTATATTGTTGAGATGTCAATGATGATGTTGGCTTCAAATCTTGAACCTTGGCAATGATGCTGCGTTTTATGAATTTTAAATTCCTTTCAGAACTTATGGCTGCAGCACTGCTGACAATAATTGTTTTTGCATTATAGGGACAAACAGCCGCAGCAGCAGCGCCGCCGCCACCAATTGTGGACAATGTGCGATTGGTGAATGATTTCTGTTTCAAATTTGACGACAAAACCGATGATGAATTGGACGTTGCCATGGCTGAAGTTTTAAAGTTATTCTCCAATGTATTGGCATTTTGTTTGTTGTTCAAGTTAGAATTGTTGTTCTGACTGGTATGTTGATTCATAAGATTTGTCGAGGTGTTGCTGTTACCAAAATAACCTGGAACTTGTTTGGCCGCAGCAAACCGTCCACCAACAGCTGACGATGTCGTGTTTGTTTGCCCCACCATACCATTCATGACAACTCCGCTGCCGCCGCCGCCACCCAATGCTGCCATCAGACTATTATTATTGGCTTTGCGTGCTGTCAGCAAATGCTTGCGAAACGTGGTGGCCATATCCTGAGGTAGCTTAATGAGACCAAAGCTATTGATGGCCATAGGCCGGGGTATACCCGAATAAAAGAACACATTGTAATAGAAGTCTTCATTGTTGTGATGATGATGGTGGTAACGCAACGAAGATTGGCCCTCGCCGTTGCTTGTTTTGTTAGTTTCACTTTTAATACCGGATGACGAGCTGCTACTGCTTGAGCTGCTGCTCAGAGATTTGACGGTTTCCACTAAACTATAATCGAACTCCAAAAGGTCATCGAAGAGCATTTCACAAGGCTTGGCATTGACCGACGTCGTCGCTGTCGTCGTATAACCATTATTATTTTCTTGTAAAATAATGGTAGTAGCCTGATTTTGTTGCTGTTGCAATTGTTGCTGTTGCTGTTCATAGCTTGTGGCGGCCTGATTTAAAAATTCAGCCAATACTTGTTGTTGATGTTGTTGACTCATATCCGCTACGCCTCCATTGTTTGTTGTGGTTATCGCATAAATCAACTGCTCTTCATCACCCTGACCGCCGGGCATTACATACTGCCGTTCCACAATGTGATGAGTCACTTGCTGGGGATTAACACCCGTTGTCGTTGTCACATCCATGTCGTCCGTCAACGAAGGAACATTGAATAATTGAAATTGTTGTGTCACATCTTCGGGTAGGCTAACAAAATCTCCTGCGGCAGTTTTTACCAGTTCATTATTGGCTTGTTGGCCGGCAACAGCAGCATTGGAACATAATTCTAGAATTTGTTTGGTATCCACCATGGTGGCAGTGCCATTTGTCTCATACATTTGTGGATGTTGATTTTGAGGAACTGTTGTTAGGTTTAGAGTATTTACCATGGAATTTGGTGTACCATAGTTTGTGGGATCCATAGCTTGTTGCTGTTGTTGCTGCTGCTGCTGTTGGTAAAGCAACTGCAATTGCATGGGGTCTATTGTGGTTTGCTGATATTGTCCAGCATCTATAGTCATGGAATTACCCATTGTCCCGTTATCGTATTGGGCATATTGGGATTGATTCGGATGTTGTTGCTGCTGGGGGTATACCGAAAAATCCCCCATGTCTTGGCCTGTGACCACAGTCGCCATCTGTTGCTGATTGTGATCGGTTGCATCGTCATAACGCATCCGTTTTGTCAGCGGCTGTTCCATATAGACAGCCTGGTGAGAGGTTTGTTGCTGCTGCTGTTGTTGCTGTTGCAGCATCATTTGTGTTTGTGTTGTGGTTGCAGAGCCATTCGCATTATTCGCTTCATTCAAAACATTTTCAAAATTAATCTCTGTTTCAGTTTCTGCATTTAGAATTTCATTTATTAGTTTACAATCAAGCATAGATTCCAATACATGATTAAGCATGGCACTATCATCGGAGGAATTATGAACCATTTGACCGTCGTCGGCAGAGGTGTTCATGATTTCCTGCTGCCCGGAAGCAACACCAGTCATTATATTATTACATCCCTCAGCAACACTGCCAGCAGTTGTGGCTTCCAATTTCATGGTCAAGCTATTGGCATCCAAATTTGTTTGGGGCAAGGTGCCACCATTGATTTTGTTATCAGCATGATCAGGCACACCACCGGCAGTGTGAATACCCGCAGAAACTCCAGGGCAATTTGTGATGGATGACACCGCCTGATTCAGTTCACTGATTTGAGCTTCATACTGATTGAGCTGTTGGCCGGGTTGCTGTGGGTTTGGCATTATTGACATGGACTTAGAGGAGACCTCATTTGTTACCGCCGTTTCCATGCCAGCCTCATTGAGGTTAAAGGTTGCCGGACTTTTAACCTGAAAATAAAATACCTAGGTAAGAGAACCACAATGACATTGAGGCACTTGCTTGATATCCTACCTTTTTCTTTTCAAAATGTTGACCATTCATTTTATCCTTGCTGGCACTATCCATGGCCTTGGGAGATAAGGAGGTGGTTGGCGATGCCTCAGATATAATACCCATTACACCCGTGATGGGTGTACCGCTGTCCTGCAGATTGGGTGTCATCATTTTGGGCGTGGGTGGCAAGGAATATGAAGAGTTCGACGAGGATGATGACGAAGAAGAGGACGATGAGGAGGAGGACGACGAAGAGGATGATGAAGAGGAGGACGAGGAAGATGACCCGAAAAGAGCAACATTTCTACTGCTAGTCGACTGTGAAGTATCCAAAACTGTGGGCAATGATGTTGTACCAGTAACCGTGGGCGTGGAGGATTTAGGTAACGAAGTAGGTGTTGATGCCGTGGTATTTGGACTTCCAGCAGCCAATAGCTTGGTTTCGACATTTTCTTTTGGAGATGCGGCAACTGCAGCCGTGGAACTGCTCGAGGAGGAACTCTTTTTGGAGGAGCTCTTTTTGCTGGGTGTCTGTGTTGTTACTGGCGTTGTGGCACGCGACGAAGATGAATGCGAAGCGTCCGCCGCCGCAGACGCCGCTGTTGCGGATGAGGAAGAGCTATGATGTTTGCTTTTACTTCGTGAACGTCCTCCAGAATTACTCCCCGATTTCGAGCCACTTTTCTGCCGTGAACTCGTCGTCGTCGTCGAACTTGTGTGTGAGGAGGTATTATGATTCGTTACAACAGCGGCCGATGACGTTGTCGACATAGAACTGGACGAAGCATTTGAACACGTTGAAATGGTACCCGATAAATCGGAAGGAGAATTTATTTCCGCAGTCCCCGGAATGCCACTATTCGAGTTGCCGCTCTCATTATTACCCTTAATACTATCCTGACTATTGTCGTTGGTGCCAAAACTCGTTTCACTCATTGGAGGGGGCGTGAATTTGGCCGATGTGCTGGCCCAGACCGAGGGATGATGCGTCATGACATGCTGATTAAAGCCCACTTTGGTGTAAATGCCCATGCAGACATTACACACCACAACACCCATTGCAGTTTGTTTGGGTACAATGCCGTAGTAGTGCATATCGGTACCGCTCAGTCTTTGCACTTGACGTAGTTGTTGTTTTCGGGTTTTCCCCGTGGGCGAACTGCCGCCATTATTGGAACATTTGCTGTGAGAATTGCTATCACCTGTGGAGCCTTTGCCTTTAATGTGAATCTTTTCAGCCATTCGAATTTGTTTGATAACTTTTTCAACATCGAATAGCTGAGACCATTTTTGACCTTGATATTTTGCCAATGGATGATTAATCGGACTTGAATGGCCCGAGGTGGAGGTGTTGTGAGTGGTATTGATAGATCCTCCATCTTGATTTTCGACAGATTGCGATGCTTGTTTCGAGTTAGTATTCATATTTAATGCTGATGTTGTATTAGATATAATTGCTGCAAAAATTCGATGAATCGTTGATTTTAAGGGTGTGGGTCGAGAAACAATACCACCATCCACCAATGAAGACAGAGACAAAATCAGGAGGATCAGGAGTTGCGGTGAGTGCTCAACACACAAGGTAAGTGGGTAGTGTTAATGAAGCTCTTGTGTATTGAATATCAATATAGACCCTACAAAACGATACGTATGAAGAGAAACTTGTAAATCATTTGGAGCAAAATTGGGACAAAACTATCACTATATATATTAAATGGATCCCAGAAATATACTTCTTTTTTAACTAGTTATCAATAAATCAGCTGACACATACATGCAAATAAATTTCAAATAAAAAAAATATTTCAAAATTTCTCTTTTGTTCAAGATTTAAATGAGAAAATGTATTATTAACAGTCTTTCAAACACCATCTTGCAACTAATATGACATTTGTAATGTACACCTCAGCGCCATCTTACGTATAAGAATGCAAATTAATAAAGGCATTGGCATCACTTGCAAGTGAGTGTGGCACCACCTGAAAATGAGTTAGGTCGCCGCGTAGCCGGACTCCTAAAGCAACATCAGCTGTTTCGACAGCTGTCACTGGAAATTGTGTATGCTGACAAGCACTCGTGTGGCATCGTGTGCTATCGGGGTTTTCATGCATTCTTTTTCTTCTTTTGCTTGTTTAAGTATTTAAATACTAGTGTTTTTCGCTGACAATGCGCAGTTGTTAACAAGTACTCACTTTTCATCACCTCACACAGGATAGATCTCTGATAGATATTGATTGTGCCCACGTAGGGAAATAACATAAATCATTTTCGTTTTTTTTTTCGCAATTTTGTTGTGTTTGCCTTGGAGTTTATTTTACAATTCTACTTGAGTTTGGTCACATTTTTTCTAGCCGACATTACTTGCTTCTACTACACTAGTCACTAGGCGTTTCTTCCGATTGCTGGCCGAAGAGAATTTTTTTCTTGTTTCGTTCATCTCATTTTTTTTATTCTTTCCCGTACAAACAATGACGACAACCAACCGAGCAATGTTTTTTTTTTGTTCTATGTATGGCTGCAGAAAATGGGATTTTCACAAGTATTAATTGGCTTACCACAAACCAAATGTATTTAAATGGGTAGTTGGGTAGGCTCGGTGTCTTATACTCCCATTGTCGCCTTTGTTTTGTATAGAGAACAGAATGCAATTTCAGTCGCAATTGCCGTAAAACTGAAAATTTGCGATTTTTATTTTGTTTTCTAGCCGTCTGAAATTATTCGTTACATGTGTAGTGGTTACCCGCTAGTGTTGTGGAAAAATAAATAAAAGTAATTGGTAATCTTGGCTTTCTGTGTGTAGGAAAGAGGAAAGTAACCATAGAGTTTGAAGTGTGCCATACACGTTTGTTGCAATATTGTGTGGAGGCGACACGTTAGACCGGCCTTAAGCCAGAAACAGATTCAACGTTTCGTTTGACGCCGGCGTGAAAAATACAAAATTGCTGGCATTTTTAGCTGGAGCATTCTTGTCTTTTCACGTTTAGTATAAATAAATTAAATAAATAATCCAGCTATACAGTTGGTTAAACATGTGTGTTTAGATCAGAACTGCTCAAAACCGCACATGAGTCTAAAAAAGAGATTATTTAACCTTTAAATTCTGAGGTGACATATTTTATAACGTGGTGGTAAATTTTACCCCTCTAAATATTACAGAAAAAAAACTTTGTTAAAAATTTTATTTGATAACAATTTGTTTTTTTTTTTAAAGTAAGCTTGTATATTTTAAATTACAATAAGTAAAAAAAAACATTTTTTTTAATGTAAACAAAATTTTTATTCATTGTAATAGAATAAAGAATTTCAAGAAAATGTGAAGGGAGGGTAAAATTTACCACCAGGAGTTAAAGGTTAAGAGAAAACAAAAATTGTATTTTTTCTTTATATTTTACCCATGGTACAATAAAAAGGTAAGGTAGAGCTATTAGCTGATTACAATTTTTTTCTAAATGTGCCCAACTTCGGCCAATTTTGTGTATGTATTTATTGTGTTGAAAAATGAAAACAAAATATTTTTTAAAACCAATGATTGGAAGACACGTACACCGTTTTGATTATATATTTGAGAGAAAATCCAGGCATTTCATTAATTTTTCGCCCTATTTAACTTATTTTAAAAATGAGGAAAAATATGAAAAAATGAGAACAATTTGTTGTATATAGGGATGTATTTCTGTAGTTTTACGAAGCTATTCTACCTCCTTATCGTACCATGTATTTATCCATTAATTTCAATTGTTTTTAAACTTGATGTTGTTCAAAATTATTAGTAAAGCGAATCTTTACAAAAAATGTATAAATTATATTTTATATTTATTCACATTGGTGACCTTTTGCGAGAAAAATCATGCATCTTCTAATGTAAAATCATGAAAAAAAGTTTTTACGTTTTTCTTGTTATTGTTGGAATGCACGTCTTTACGCAAACATTTCTGGCTTTGGAGTGTACCACAATGCTAATGCTGTACCATGGTAGAAGAATACAGGTAGTCGCATCGGCACAGCTGCTGGGACAATGAACTGTCAAACCAATTTTGGAATTGAACATTTTGAATAAACAATTATTTAAATTCGTTAAAATTGTTGAAAAATGCCTATAATAAGAGCATCCGATTGTGGTCGTAAAATAAAACATATAAAAATCTACTTATTTTTGAAAAAGCATTTTAAATTTTTGACACATCAATGTTCCCAAGCGTTGACACAACTGTGTGTATTCTTCTTTGATTCATTTTTGAGTTATCAACGAAAATTGGTAAAATTAGAATGCTAAAAATTTCGGTCATTAACGAAAATTTACGGCATGTTATCGGCCAAATAAAGTAGTCGCTAAAGCTGTGGTCAGACGATAAGTGTCTTATATATTTAATATCACTTTTATTAGTCATGTATAATTCAGTGTGTATGTCAAAATTCCCATTTTACATATGAATCATGTTTCTTGCTATCAAATACTTGCATATGTTGTGTTATTTTCTTTGATTACAATGCATGAAGAATAAATGTATAAGAATAAAGGTAGACGCGTCGCACAGCTGCTGGGACAATGAACTGTCAAACCAATTTTGGAATTGAAAATGTTGAATGAAAAATTATTTAAATTTGTAAAAATTTTTGAAAAACGCGAAATATAGTAGCCTCCGAATGACGTAGTATAAGAAAACATATAAAAATCTACTTATATTTGAAAAAACATTTACATTTTTTTGACATATCAATGCTCCCAAGCGTTGATGCATCTACCTGTATTCTTCTGCCATGTTACAATGTGATTACATTGTAGCTTATATAAAATTATAATACTTTATGGATGAATGAATGAATGTCCTAACAATCTCCAATTATTAAGTTTGGAAAAACATTTTTAAAATGTTGACATATCAATGTTTCTAAGCATTGATGCAACTACCTGCAGAAATCGGGCACACTTAGAAAAAAATGTATTCAGCTGGTAGTTCTACCTTACCTTTATATTGTACCGTATTTACTTCACTCATATATTTTAAAACTGAAATACCGTCCATGTATCACACGATGTGTGCAACTTCTATCTATGGAAAATTTGACATTACTACGTAAAACCCTGATCTCCTGATCACAGCTTAAGACCTTCCCCAAGGCCCATATATTAGGTCTTGTAAAGGGCGAATTGCCTTAAAAACAGCTGTTTTACTTCTTCGAACTGTCAAAATTTCTTCTGAAGCGAATAATAATTCGCCTTTGTGTATCTTTTTTGTGGCGAATTTGTAAACATCTACGAGAAAAAAAAACAAAGTAAAGCATACGAGCATAGTATTAAAATTAAACAGTAGGCAAGTCGTTTCAATGAACATATTTTGGCAATTTGTCCTCCTTTTTGACCTTGCGTCTTCGTACTTGGGAATGGAGAAAAAATCGCATTTGCAGTCAGGCAGCCAGAATAGAATTAGGTGTGTCTGGTTACCCTAAAAATTTTAACAACTGTTACTTTTAACACAAAAGTTCTGCAAAAGAGAGTTACTCGAGAGAGGAATTCTTTCACTGAGTGTTTGCAAATTCTTCCTGGACAAATTTCTTCTTGCAATTATTTGCTATTATTCTCCTTCCGGAGCACATTTAAAACATATTTATTTTAGTAATCAAATGCCTAATTGTATAGTCTTACGGCTTATTTTAAATTTGTGTGTACTTCATTTCTTTTTTATACCCTCCACCATGGGTAGGAGGGTATATTAACTTTGTCATTCCGTTTGCAACACCTCTAAATATTCGTCGTAGACCCCATAAAGTATATATATTCATAATCAGCATAAAATTCTAAGACGATTTAGCGATGTCCGTCTGTCTGTCTGTCTGTCCGTCTGTCTGTCCGTCTGTCTGTCTGTCTGTCTGTTGAAATCACGATAGAGCCCACATTATTTGACGTAGACCTTTGAAATTTGGCACAAGTGTGTGTATTGTCTCTAGGATGGTTGGTATTGAAAATGAGATATATCAGTCCACGTTCTGGTATAGTCCCCATATAACGGTACCTCCCGATATTCCGTATTTTGATGATTTATGCCACATTTTTTCACGGATTTATCTGAAAATTGGTATTTGTAGGTCATGACGGGTCCCTGAGCGTGTGGCAAAACATTGCCTGTATAGGTCCACTTTTGGTATAGCCCCCATATAACGGTACCTCCCGATATTCGGTATTTTGATGATTTATGCCACATTTTTTCACGGATTTGTCTGAAAATTGGTATTTGTAGGACACAACGGGTCCCTGAGCGTGTGGCAAAACATTGCATGTATAGGTCCACGTTCTGGTATAGTCCCCATATAACGGTACCTCCCGATATTCGGTATTTTGATGATTTATGCCACATTTTTTCACTGATTTGTGTAAAAGTTGGTATTTGTGGGTCATAATGGGTCCTAGTTCGTGTGGCGAAACATTGTAATTATAGGTGCACGTGTTGGTGAAGCCCCTATATAACGGTACCTCCCGATATTCGGCATTTTAATGTTTTTTGAAACATTTCTTCTAATGTTCTTTTACCCTAGGGTGGAGGGTATTAAAAGTTTGGCCCGGCCGAACTTAATGTTTTTTTACTTGTTTTTCCTTCGTTTTTCATAAATCAGCTGAGAATAAAACTCTCAGAAAGAAACTACTAGACAATTACTTCAGGAAAATAACCAGACAGGCCTATTGTATAATGACAGCTTGTCATTTTTTTTTGGCGAATTCCAAATATAAACAAATGTATTTTGACAGAATGGATGAAATCAGCTGGGCTAATCGGACGATCTATTTAATGGGCCTTGACCTTCCCATAGCAAAAGTGCTGTCAACTTCAGTTTATACTTTTCATATTAAATTATAGCTTAAAAATTTGTAAACATTTTTGCATCGACCACAAAACATCTGTTTTTTATGAGCTGTTGTTACTAACAATTCCTACTAAGACTATATAAAATAAGTTAGGTATTACCTCCAACTCAGAATTGCTCTTTTTTCTCGCACTCTTATACTGGACTTTGGCTTATAGAATATTTTTAATATCCTGTGGGAATACCTGCTTAATTCTGGTTTTTACTGAAAAAAATTATCCGTGGTGGAATTAAGAAAGCAAAGTCATGCAATCCATGGTAGAAGAATATAGGTAGATGCATCAACGCTTGGGAACATTGGTATATCAAATTAAGTGCTTTGTCAAAAATTAGTAAATTTTTATATGTTTTCTTATACGACGCAAATCGGAGGTTGTAATAATATGTATTTTTCAACAATTTTTACAAAATTCAATAATTTTTCATTCACGATTTTCAATCGGTTTGACAGTTCATTGTCCCAGCAGCTGTGTCGATGCGTCTACCTGTATTCCTTTACCATGCATGCAATCATATGATTTGTTGCGTTCATCCTCATTGTAAAATTTTTATAATGTGCAATTTAATGCACCGAACGTGCTGAACGCCAGCCAAAAAAGAGAACCGGATACACAGGGCGGCCGGCTAAATTTTAAAAAGTGATGCCAAGTTTCATGTTGTTTATTGTACAACATGAGAGACGTGTGGCAAAAATACAACACTGGGGATAATAGTGGGTAGGTAGAACACCTGATAAAGGTAAATAATAAATGTCAGGGAAATTGTGGGAAAATCTTGGAAAAGAGGGAAAGTTTGGTTGAGCGTCCTTGGTGGCCGTATATAAAGCACAGAGAGGGCGAAAAGCGCCATTATTTCAAAGTGGTGTGGAACAGAAACAGTTCAGTCAATTTTTAAATGTTTTTTTTTTTTGTGAATAAAAAAAAGGAAATACTGAATTGGCAGTTACAATTTGTGTGTTTTATTGTTTTATTTGTGTGGCGTATCTAAACAATTTGTAAGTGTTGATTTGTAAGTGGTGTTATGTCGGATGTGTTGTGTTAAGTTTTTGTGTTCTATTTAGGAATAACGCCGCGCATAAATCCACAATTGGACAACGCCATCCGACTTGGACGAAAAAGAAGCGGGCATCCCCAACAATTATTTTTGTATCGCCAGGTGCGGCACAGGGGTTCCAGGCAACGAAAAGGTTCTGGAAACGGCCAAAAGACCTGGGAAACTGCCAGTGAATAGCCCTTGGAACAGGCAACATTACCAATCCGGGAAGCTAACCAGTAGATCCCACCTAAAAATCTGTAAAAAGAAGATAAAAAGTTGCCTAAGTATGCCGTTGTGAAGGTAATGTAATTCAAAATTTAAGTTACTTACCAAAGAAAAGAAAGAAAGCCAAATCCCGCTAAAAAAAAAGTCATATGAAGTTCCTTTTCCTTTGACGGAAACACCACTGAAATAAAAAAAAAAATATGAAATTCATCAATTAATCCGAATTTGACTAAAAGAAAAAAAGAAGCTATAAAAAATATTTGTTTGTTAGTGTGTAGTTTAGTATATAAGTTAAACGTATTGTTTGTAGTTAGATAAATAGTGCTTAAGATACAAATGTGAGGAAAATTAATGCCCATTAAATCTTATTGTTAGTGAGTGTAGGGTTGCCTCAAAATTTTACAGCTAGAAAATTTCGATTTTTCTGTTTGGGACAAGGATTTGAAATGCCCAAAAGATTTGTCTAAGTGAGCTCCTTTAGGCAGAAATTTAAAGTACTTGTATTGGCCAAAATTGGCGCTTCTAGCAGGGTAATAAAAAAAGGTAATCTGAGTATTGACTCACAATTTTTGTTTTTCGTTCGGGTATTAATAATCCAGTTTTTTTTTTATGTGTTCGTGTTGAAATTAGTTTTAAGAGAACGATAATGATTCTAATAAATAAGCTTAATGTCTAATTGTCTAAAGAAATAATATGTTGTGCTAAATTTTGTTTGTGAGAGAGGAGGTTAGGCGTTGTAAGTGAGTGTGTGTGGCTTTTTGGGGCCCTTTTTAATTTTTTTTTGAGTTTATTTGGACTAAAGGGTCAAGGATGGGTGGGCATAGTGGGGGAGCAATAATATCAAGCTCCTGTGTCATAGGAGTATGTTGTGTATGTTTGTTTTCAGTTTTTCTGTGTTTGTGTTTATTCCAGTACAAATCTTTAAGTGTTCATTCCCTAGGGTTGATGGTGGCAGGGTTGAGAACCCCCTGGATTAACCGCTCCCTCCTGAGCTAGTGCGGAACCCCACCATAACGCCGAGTAGGCCGAATGTAACAGATTACAAGTTTTTTCAAAATTATTAATTTGACATCATTTTATTGTCAAAATTTATGCTTACAAATCCATTGTATACACACAAATCAGAGATGGGAACCTATTGTTTATGCATTGACATTTGACAAGGCAAGTTACTGAAAATGTAGAGATGGGTATGCTTATTTGTTATTTACCTTCTTAATTATACAATGAATTTTAACATTTAAATTGAAAATTGCAATCTTCTGCCCAAATTTATCATGTTTTACGGCTGTTTTGTATTTGTTTATATTTAACAAAAGTCTGTAGCTAATCAGCATTTTGCCTCAAAAAATCCAATTGGGCAAAATGCACTGCCAAACCAGTTAACATTTCTCTTAACTTTTTTAATTTAAAAGAAATTTCTTTAAATAAAAGAGAAGAAATGCACACGAATATCACTCAACCATCATCATCATCTATAAAAGCTACCCATGGACTACAATGTGCTTCAGTCTATACGCGTGCCTCAAATAGAGCATTTGCTGCTCAACGATTCGAACAATAAACTTAAACGGAACAACGGTCGTAACGGTAAAAGTGTGTGTAATTCTGTGGTCCAAGTGCATATTCGTTTTGGAAAAGCCTCCCAACCTCTTCTATCAAATAAGAAAGTTAACAACAACAATAAAAACAGTTGTGTTGGGCTTAAGTGAATAATTAATGGGAAAATAAAACCACAACAACAACAATGTCGCTCAGTTTGAAAAATCCTGAAAATCTGGATACGACGACAGTCAAGGTCGGTTGTCTTTATTTTGGTCTGTTTTCCGGTGGCCACCAAAACGGTCATTATGATGAACATCGTCGTCGTCGTAATGTTGTTTGTAAAAGTTTCACGAGCCCGGTATTGCCGCCAACCGCCGTAATTAGACAACGACCACATCGGGGGCACAAAAGTTGTTGGTTCAGTTCAATTGCTATTGAACTGTTTCTGGTCGTATTAATTGTGATGATGATTGTAAGCGGAATAGGTAATTTCTTCAAGACACTCACTTGCTTGTACGATTATGTGATTATGGTATCCTCTATAGATGTGTTTGCGTACGTGTTTGTGTGTGTGGAGTACGATGTGTCCGGGCCATGGTTTATTTGATTTATTTGTGGATTTAAATGAGTTAATTGGAATGCATCATAGGTGGTTGATATGATTTAACTTTATTTCCTTGGCACACGTTTGTGGCATTTCTGTTGTTGTTGTTGTATGTATGTCCATATGTGTGATTGTTTTTTTTTTTTTTTTTTGGCTAATCATGGGTATACAATTTAAATGAAACGAAATAAAATAAGGTCATGTTTGTATCAAAAACCTTTTACGCGGCAAAATTCACTATCATAATTTGGCGTTAAATGTCAAAGGGCTTTGCCAGATAAATTTCTTATCAATGCAACACTTCTTCGTCCTATTTGGGAACCCGGAGAATTTGTTTTTGTGCAAAAAAAATTAATAATAAAAAACATTTTAATTGTGGAATCAACAAGTCTATTTGTTTTGTTTTTTGCAGAACAAAGTCGCAAAAACAGAAATTCTCATCGTAGAAGAATATAGGTAGATGCATCAATGCTTGGAAACATTGATATGTCAAAAATTTTCAAATGTTTTGAAAAAAATTAGTAAAATTTTATATGTTTCCTTACACGACACAAACTGGGCGTTGTTATCATATGCATTTTTCAGCAAATTTTACAAATTTCAATAATTTTTCATGCACAATTGGTCAATTACAATATTGGTTGGACAGTTCATTGTCCCAGCAGCTGTGTCGATGCGACTATTTGTATTCTTCTACCATGGAAATTCTTCTTAATTATTATTTAATTTTGTTTTGTTTGGGCAAGTCAGCTGATTTTTTGTAAGCGACTTTAACTGTTTACTTTTCATAGTTTCCTTGCAAAAAAAAAAAAAAAAAAAATAATAATAATAATAAGACTACCTTATAGCGCGTTTAGATACGATTTTTTATCCGGATTAACCCATATTACCAGGATTTATTGCTTATTTCGGATTATTTTAACCAGATTTACCATACAAATATTAATCTGCATAACGTTTAGATACCAAACGCGCTATAAAAACTTTACTACAATAACCGATTTTCCTGTTATGAAATTCCAAAACTAGTAGATTTATGTAGGTTCTGGGACAGATCATATGTATGAGTAAACAAATATCAGCTGAGAGGCATTTATATCCTACCAAGCATAGTACAATTTTTTTCTAAGTGTGCCCGACTTCTGCAAATTTTGTGTTTGTATTTATTGTCTTGAAAAATAAAAACAGAATATTTTCAAAATTGCTGATTGGAAGACGCGTACAGTACGAGATGCGCATTAAAGCTATTCGCCAGTTATGCCATGGAATTGAAAGATAGAACTGTTTAGATCACATTTTTGATAGAAAATCCCGGCATTTCATTCATTTTGCGCGCTATTTAACCCATTTTAAAAATGCGGAAAAATATGAAAAAAAAAATGAATACAACTTGTTGCATATAATTTTGAATGAAGCGGGCATAGCCACAGGGCTGTATTTACCTTCTCTCTCTTTATTAAAAATAGTTAATATTTACAATTCATCTTAGTTTCTATAAATCATTGCACAGATGTGGCAAGGCCTTATATCTAAAGCATTATATAATAAAAAATTTAAATAATTCAGTTACATAGTAATAAATCATAAAGTGTCTGAAGGAAAACTATAAGCAAAAACCTTCTATACAAAAATAATATCTACACAAATACATGTAATTTTAGTTATCTAGGTAAATACCTAAAATCAGAGGATTTTCAGAAAATAAGCAATTGGCTTTGAATCTACTAATATGTTGCTCAATGCAACATAGAACCGTATTTACACTACTTATAGAGTAAAGCCAATCCGTCGGGAAATCCCAAGGTAGTTTTAATGCCATCTTAAGAATTTTATTCTGTGCAATTTGCAATCGTTTAATATGTGACTTTGCACAATGTCCCCATATTGGGCAACCATAGAGGATGATGGATTGAAAAATTACCTTAAAGATTAAGATTTTATTATCATTACTTAGCAATGAATTCCTATTAATTAATGGATAGAGAATTTGTTTGTACATATTAACCCTATTTAAAACATGATCTATATGATATTTAAAAGTTAGTTTTTTATCGAGCCAAATGCCAAGATATTTTACATTGTCTAACCATGTTATATTGTCGTTTCCTAAAACAAGGTTATTGTTGGGTACGAAACAAGATTTTCTTCTTTTTGTGAAAAATATTGACTGTGTTTTGGTATAATTCAATTTAATTCTCCATTTTAAGTAATAGTCACATAATATATCAATTGAATGTTGCACATTGCTTAATATATTATGACTTAGTAGACCGGTATAATAGATTCCAATATCATCGGCATATAAAGCGAATTTACATGGACTAAGAGACGGCATATCTGAACAGTATAAATTGTATAGAATTGGTCCCAAAACGGATCCCTGCGGTACTCCAGCATGAATAGGCATTAAGTCTGAAAAAGAATTGTTAACTGAAACACAAAAATGTCGACCGCTTAGGAATTGTTCAATAATTTTTATGAGGTAAGATGGAAAATGAAAAATCATAAGTTTATAGACTAAGCCTCGATGCCATACTGTATCGAACGCTTTCTCTATGTCGAATAAAACTAAAGCTGTAGACAGCCCACCATTTAAGCCAATACGAATGTCATTGCATAAACGTTTCACTTGATGTATTGTAGAGTGCCCGTCTCTGAAACCAAATTGTTCATTAGGGAGAATTTTATTTTCATGGACAAATTCTGAAATCTTTTTTTTAATAATCTTCTCCAATATTTTTCCAAGTGTGCTTAGTAGGCTAATAGGTCTATAATTTTCAGGTTTATTATTAGGTTTACCTGGTTTAGCAATTGGGATGACTTTTGCAGTTTTCCAAGTAATTGGAAAATATTGAAATCTAAGGCATGCGTTAAATATATTACTTAGATATGCTAATGCGTTCCCGGTTAAATGTTTTAGCATTTCATTATTGACTTCGTCCAAACCACAAGCTTTTCTTTTTTGAAGGTTACGTATAATGTATTCAACTTCACTAGTTGTAATAAATTCGGAACTAGGAGTAACAATATCCATATTTCCTAACATTTCAACAGTTTCATTTACATTCTCAATGTGTTGTGGTATACCAATATTGTCAGATATTGTGTGATTTTCACTAAACGTCTTAGCAAAAGCATTGGCTTTGTCAATATCTGTTATTAAGACTTGGTCTCCAGAAATTAAACTATGACAACAACGAGACTTCTTCCTTAACATTTTGGATACATTCCAAAACGGCTTCGAACCTTTATCCAAATGTTGCAACATTTTATTCCATTCTAAATTTCTATATTTGTGTATTTCATTACGGATAATCAAACTATACTTAGTCATTGCATTGTGATCAACAATTTGGCGATACCGAATCCAGTCTCTGCGAAACTTATTTTTTATTTTTATAAGGTTAAGAATATAATTAGGAAGTTTACAGTACTTGGTTTTGAGAGAAAAAAGAGGAACAGATCGTCTAACTGCCTCTAACAATGTGCTTGTGAAGAAGTCAACGTGATCATCGATGTCTGCAGGTATATCAAACTGTATGTTAGTGTGTTGAAACTTCAAATTAACAAACTGCTTATATGCACTCCAATCGGCAGAAGAAAAATTGAACTTGTAAGTGCATGACCGGGAGGGATTACCAGAAAGTTTAAATTGAACGGGAAGGTGATCGGATGAGAGATCATTAATGACGTGAGGATTTGTTAAAAGAAGAGGAATGTTAGTTAGAATTAAATCTAGAGTTGATGGATTACACGTTGAGGAAGCAGGGATATAGGTTGGACAATTCGGAAATAAAATGGTAAAAGGGTAAAGTGGATTTAAATCATTAAGAATATTACCCCAGGTATTTGAACGAAGGCAATTCCAATTACGGTGTCTAGAATTCAAATCGCCACAGAAAATATAATTACCATCGGTGTTTAAGATTTTACGTAAATCGGATTTAAATAAGCTGCGGAGTGTACTACTATTCACACCTCCAGGAAAGTATATGCTATACAACTTAATCGATTGCGAATCATTTAGCTTTAATTCTATTCCTGTGTTTTCAATTATTTGGGTTGGTATACTTTGGACAATTTTAAACTCAATATTATTTTTAATGATTATGGCCACACCTCCGCCAGTTTGCCCAACTCTGTCTTTTCTAACATATTTGTAGTTGGGAATATTGAAACCGTCACTCTCATTCAACCAAGTCTCTGATAAACAACAAATATCAACATGGTTAGAAACTATAAAATGTGTTAATTCAACGATTTTGTTTCGGATACTTCTAGAGTTCCAAAATATTATATTTAAGTTAGAATAATTCATTTATGACTATTATTGTAAACAAATTTAAAGGCTAGTTCAGCTACTACATTAAATTGTTGTTCTCTGGTAGTGCAGGAACCAAGTTTGGAGATCATTTCAGATGTCAATTGCAAAAATTCTTGCTCAGAGAATAGAGTACTGCCAGCCGCAACGGGAAATTGATTATGTGAAGAGGCATCACTGTTGTTGACATGTTTCCAGTTGTTTACAACAACAGGTTTATTAGCAGACTTGCATAGTGGAGGAAAGTTCTCATTGTTAGTGTTGAACTCGATGCTCTTTCTCTTACTGTGGTGAGTTTTTAAAGTTAGTTTCTGTTTCATTTCTAGGTACATAATTCTGTTTGGGCATGAAGCATCAGTGGACTTATGATTTTTACCGCAATTGGCACACTTGATTTTATTTGGTGTTTGACACTCAGAAGTGAGGTGATTTCCAGCACAGTTCGAACATAGAATGGCAACATGACAACCTTTCTCTCCATGTCCATGCATTTGACATTTTCGACATTGAACCGTTTTGTTTTTAATACGCCTTTGGTAGTCCCATGTAATAATAATTTT